TAGAATTATATAATTAATGGAACGAAATAAGTTATTTCAACTTTTTTCTTATCTCTTCTAGACAACCAACAAAAAGTCATTATGGAAGAAGCCACGACAGTAAGCGATGTTGTAGTGAATTTATCATCTCCAAGAGATATGCAAGATTCTATTTTACACTTAATAGAACCTCAAGCACAAATTATTGAATCAAATATTTCCGAAATACCTTCAATCTCAGTCGACCAAATCGAACCTGAAACTATGTTAGACGATAATATTCTCAAACTTTTGGGTGAAACCCCTTCAAAGAATAAAAAGTATAGTTTACCAATACAAAACGAACTCGCTGTTCGCTGGGAACATATTGCTACTGCAGGTCTACAAAAGGATGTCAAAAAAGAACTGTTCGAAAAATATTTTTTATCAGAAAATTGCCAAAAAATTGGTCCTCCTCGATTAAATGCAGAAATAAAAGCTGCTTTGTCGGATACATTGATCAAAAAGGACAAAGCTATTGAAATTAAACAAAATCAGTTAGCTATTGCTATAACTTGCATTGGTCACGCATTAACTAAAATATTCACTAGTCAGAATAAAGACACCGATATTATAAAACTTTTACTAGATTCCGGCAGAATTTTATGTGACTCTCAGTATGTTGAATCTATGTCCCGCAGAAGTTTTGTGACTTCCACTATAAAAAAAGATATAAAAGATCAATTATACACTACTGAGATAGATAGCTATTTGTTCGGCGAAAAATTGTCTGACACTTTAAAAGCAGCTAAAGCTATTTACAAATCAGGTGCGGAAATGAAAAATACATCTCAACCTAAGACAACCATTCTGCAACCTAGATTTAGTCAAGCTCGGTCTTTAAACATGAGACCTCCTCTCCCACCGGCGAGGCAAACGGGAGCAGGGAGGAGACCGGCAGTTGCACAACAGCCTCGCAGATACCAAACCCCCTCACTACCTCCGCCGCATCCAATAGCATATCAAACGCCGCTGCCGCCGCCTCCGCCGCCGCCGCCAATGCCGCCTCAGCGCTCACGCGGGCGCACACAGATACGCCGTTAGATGAGGTATACCGCACAGCCGGTAGGTTATCCTTATTTTATGAAAGATGGAAATTTATAACCGACGATAGAAATATTCTTTCTTGGATTAAAGAAGGTTATAAAATACCTTTTCATACCACTCCTCAACAGCATTGCAAGTTTTTACCCAAAAAATATTCCGCTAAAGAAATTAATGAATTTCAAACTGTTATCAACGAATTATTAGAGTCAGGTGCAGTTTCTGAATGTAGTCCCTGTGATAAGCAATACATATCAGATATCTTTTTAGTGCCAAAACCGAATGGCAAGAAGCGTTTTATTTTAAATTTAAAGTCACTAAATAAATTTATTACAACTGATCACTTTAAAATGGAAGATCTTAGAACGACATTAAAACTGGTTTCTAAAAATTCATTTCTATGTACTATTGATTTAAAAGACGCATATTTTTTAATTAATATAAATGAAGTATATAAAAAATATTTACGTTTCACATTTAATAAAAGAATATATGAATTTAATGTCCTTCCCTTTGGACTTAATACAGCACCATTAGTTTTCACAAAACTAATGAAACCGGTTATATTGTTACTGAGATCATTGGGATATATATCATCAATTTATTTGGACGATTTATGTTTAATATCAAATTCGTTCCGCAATTGCCAGCAAAACGTTACTCAAACAATAATAATATTGGAATCATTAGGTTTCGTTATAAATTATGAAAAAAGTAATTTGACGCCTAATACTATATGTAAATATTTGGGTTTTATGATTGATACAAAACATTATAGTATTGCCCTTACGGACGAAAAAAGATATCTGATAAAACAAGAAATATCCAAATTTAAAAAATTGAAGTGTTGTTCAATACGTCAGTTTGCTCGACTTGCAGGCCTCCTTACCTCAGCCTGCCCCGGTGTTCAATATGGTTGGTTATACACCAAACATATTGAACGATGTAAGTATTTGGCTTTAGAAAAAACAAAAAACTATGATAGTTTTATGATAATTCCTAATACTTTAGTAACTGATTTTGATTGGTGGTTGAGTCACATTGATACTTCGGCGAATCCAATTAGAGATGATTTCTATTGCATTGAAATCTTTTCTGATGCTAGCAAAACAGGGTGGGGGGCAGCATGCGGTAAGGAGAAAGCTAATGGAAAATGGAGTGATAATGAAAAGAATATGCATATTAATTATCTAGAAATATTAGCAAGTTTTTTTGCCTTACAAGTTTTTGCTCATGCTTTAAGTAATTGTCAAATACTTCTTCGTATAGACAATACAACTGCGATTTCATACATAAACAAAATGGGGGGCGTGCGATTCCCACATCTTACCAATGTTACCAAAAAGTTGTGGGAATGGTGTGAAAAAAGAAACATATTTGTATACGCATCTTACATTAGTTCACAAGATAATGAAGTGGCAGATGCGGAATCGCGACGCTCACATCCTGACATTGAGTGGGAACTAACTGACCAAGCCTTCCAAAATATTGTTAAAAATTTTGGAGAACCAAACATAGATTTATTTGCAACCAGATTAAATAACAAATGTAAAACATATGTATCTTGGCACAGAGATCCTGGTGCTTTTGCTGTTAATTCTTTTACCCTAAATTGGCACAGTTTATATTTTTATGCCTTTCCACCTATATCAGTAATATTAAAGGTAGTTCGTAAAATTATTACCGACAACGCAGAAGGCATAGTTGTGGTTCCCTTTTGGCCCACACAACCATGGTTCCCTATCTTCAAAATGTTATGTAGTCATATGATTATACTTGGAACAAATACAAATGTTTTGACTTCTGTTCCCAACAGACACTTACAACACAAAGTTATGCTGGTAGCCGCGAAATTATCCGCACAGCATTATCACGAAGAGGTATCCCAGCAAGTGCATTAGATATTATGTGCGCTTCAATATCGGACAACTCAATTAAGCAATATGGAGTAGTTTTTAAAAAATGGTCGGATTATTGTAATAATCATAATATTAATTTATATGAAGCGTCAGTTCCCCATGTAATTTCATTTTTGACAAAAATTTACCACACCGGAGCACAATATAGCACATTAAACAGTTACAGATCTGCTTTATCCTTGATCATAAGTAGTAAAATAGGGGCTGATGACAGAATCACAAGATTGTTTAAGGGCTTTTACCGCCTTCGTCCGCCGTTACCAAAATATAATGTTACTTGGAACCCTTCTATTGTATTAAAATTTCTAGAATCCTGGTATCCTAATGATAGTATTAGTTTAGAAAATTTGTCCAAAAAAGTAGTTACTCTACTAGCACTTGTTACTGCACATAGAGTGCAAACATTAAGTAAAATTAAAATACAGAATATTCAATATATTAATAACGAAAAGTCATTATTAAAATACCCGATTTAATAAAAACGTCACGAGCTGGATCACTCCAACCCTGTCTGACAATTCCATTTCTAAAAGAAAAAAAAGCAGATCTGTCCAGCAGACGCATTATCCATGTATTTAGAAAAAACCAGTAATATTAGAAATAGTGATAATTTATTTATTAGTTTTAAACACCCTCATAAACCAATTTGTTCTCAATCCATCAGTAGATGGATCAAGGAAATTTTATTTAAAAGTGGCATAGATACTAGCATATTTACTGCTCACTCAACAAGACATGCTTCAACATCTTCCGCTTATAGACAAGGAATTAATCTTGATCTCATCCGTAGGACAGCAGGATGGTCAGATACATCCTGTGTATTTGCTCGTTTCTACCACAAAACTGTGATTACAGATGATAATAATGATTTCGCTATGTCTATTCTAAATCAAGATTCTAAGTAAAGAGTTAATAAGTACGATGTGATTTTTATAAGATTGCTAATATACCATTTTTTATGAAATGTTAGCTTTGTATGTTTATAAAAATTATAGTATTAATAAATATGTTTAGATTACATAAACAATATTAATAAATGATTTTTTTTTATATAAATTCCATGTCTCTAAAGATCTACAAGTATTCTAATCTCGAAGACGAAGCAAAGTATAATTGATGATTAAACGAACTTACCTTAAGTGATGTTCTATCATAATTATACGATGGCTTCGTCTGAAGAGATTAGCTCCCCCCCTCCCTTAACCCAAAGAAAAATTTATAAAAAAAAAAAATAAAGGTTCTGAACTAAATGACAAATGGCGACGACCAGTGTTGCCAATAGAAAAGTAGAAATTAAAAAATGTATTTCATTTTTCCTTTATTTATGTGTTTCTCAACTATAGTGTATGAATGGCCACACGGTACGCGCTACTACAAGTATTCTAATCTCTTCAGACGAAGCCATCGTATAATTATGATAGAACATCACTTAAGGTAAGTTCGTTTAATCATCAATTATAAAACATTCTTATAATATGGATATCAAATGGCACGCTGAGAAGTTTTTATCGCTTTATTATCATAACGAATCATAGAAACGTCAACATTTTTTATTTACAATACAATTGTTGAGACATCGTGTTCCATGGCGGATGACACGTTTCACGTCTGATTTGAAAGTCAGAGTCTGTGGACGAGCGCTATTACATTAACGTTTGCAGAATTGCCCTACAGACGGACGGAGTAGGTTTGCCCTATTTTATTTAACGTTGTAGTGTGGACGCATCATCATTAACACCAAATAGCCACTAGTAGATGGCGATTCATTGTACACGAAACACCAGAGGGTAGACTGAAAAATTAATATGAATTTTGGATAATTTAGCTTCCACATGGATAAAAACTTGACCATCAGTTGGTCACGAGGTTTTATTAAAACTGTAAAATTTCTGTACTTGATTTAACCACAATCACACTACTACCACATAAAGCGCAATCCTACCATATTTTATGAGTAAAAAGGACGCATTAAAAACCAGAGAGAAAGAGAAAAAATTTGCTCTACTTCAAATACTTCTTGGGAATGATTATGGAGGTCAGTAATTGATGAATATGTAAATAAGGAAATTATAACCAACAATTTTTATTACTTTTGAGTTAATTTCTTTATTGCATTCATAAAAAATTCTTATTAACTTATGATTATAAATGGAATAGCCGTCAAGCGTCTTTCAGAATTATGCGTTATACACAACGGATAATCCACCGAGTATGCAAAATTGAAATGTTTTGCCACCAACAATTACGCGTCGTGTCTTCCGTATATGCACCGATCCTTAAGACAAATTTACATTACGAAACTAGTGTCAACGCAAGTTGATATTGGACTGAGCCATCTCAAAAGTGACAGGAGTATTCTATACACAAGCTGTCCCGTCTGACCCTGAATAAGACGCCCAGTTTTATGGCCACTTACGTTTGCACTTTTGCGCTTTTGTCAAGTTTTTGTATATTCTTAATTTTAGTAATCAACAAAGTAAAAAGGTCTAAATAAATAGAGTAGCTAAATGACTTCTAGTGGCAACAGAATCAACTCGCTGCGTCGAGATAACTCGATTGCATAGAAAGTTCGAGTAATATTTTTTAACTCGAGTAAAAACAAGGTCCGATTCGTCTAGTCTAGACCTAAAGAGCTGTTATTGGATTATAACATTATGCTTGGACTTTAGATGCCCTTTCAAGCTGCATTTCTGGATGAACTTCTGATCACAATAATCACATTTGTAGTTTCTTATGTTGGCATGTATTTTCAGATGCTCCTTTAATGTATTCTGTCTTCCGTACGACTTCTTGCATACAGAGCACTGATATTTCTTCTCTCCAGTATGTTTAAGCATGTGTTTCTTCAAATCAGTCTGCGCAAAAAATGCCATGTCACATTCGTCGCATTTATGCTCCCTCTCCATTAAATGGTCCCTTTTCATATGAATAGTATAACGTCTTTTATTTGAGAAGATTTTGGAACAAGCCTGGCATTGGACTTCGATTATACCCACTCCGTGCATCGCAGCCATATGCTGCTCCTTCGTAGCGTGGTTCCTGAATTTCTCGTCACATATACCGCATTTGTTCCAAACAACTTGTTTATGGACTACTTTCTCATGCGCTTTCTGCTTCAAAGACGTATCAAAGATTTTATCGCAAAACGTGCACTCGAATTCACCTTTTTTATGCGTAGGAATGTGATTACTTAATATGTTACTATTCACAAAACCAGCATCACAAACGTGGCAAACGACATTTCTATAATGGATGTTCATATGCTCCAGCATAGTCTTGAATTTATTGCAGATTTTCGAACAAAAAACGCATCTCAATACTTCATCTTCGAATTTGAACGGTACAATGTGGTCTTCTATATCCGAGTAAATCTTTTTATCATGGTCGGTGATCAAGTGATATACGAAATCGTCTAAGCTATCAAATTCGGTATCACATATGTTACATTTCAACGCAGTAATGTCAAGTTTGACTATGTACGAAGACGGTTTATACATCTCCTTTGCAATCCACTTGAGCGCGGATCTAGGGCTATGATGTTCTAAAGTGTGGCTTTTTAAATCTGCAGGGTTTGGGTATTCATCTGTACAGTAAGCGCAGGTGTAGCTGATGCCAACGCGGCTTCTGATGGGTGTTGCGTTCGAGCATTGCCTGATGGTGTTTAGATTGGCGTGATGCTTCTCTATTTCTCGTAAGTCCTTCACGGTTATATTGGACTTTCTCATTGCTGAACGTTGTTTCAATGAGTGAGAGTGAGACGACCTGTTTTCGCTAAATGTGTTAGCCGTACCTACAAAGAATAAATAATATTAGGAGGGTTGTAAATGGCTTCGGAACTTACTCTAGACAGTTTTAATCGTAATTTTTTTCCGATCGATGAATCTCCAAGCAACGCAATGTTATATATTACAGCCAAACTTGGAACATGTTTGTGATGATATTGGAATCATGATCAATATAGTGATGCGCAAAACTTGATGGCATTTGTAGCGCCAAGACCAAAATAGTTAAAAGTTAGTGTGTCGTCCGTAATAAAAAAAAACTATGTACGCAGTTGACTCTTGCTTATATTATAAACCACGCGTCATATTAAAAAAAAAAAAAATTGTGTGCTCTACGATGTGGCCAATCGGTATTTTCTCCATCGTCGCCATCACCTTTCTTAGGTAGGATTTTATAAATAAATCGCTTGTGTTGAACTATCAAAGTATTTTTTAATATTAATGCTTGATGACTAGGTATACCTAATAATATTTTGTCCGTCTGTCAGATAATTGAAAAACATACATACATTGCACGTTAAATAAAAGCCTTTAATATTTTTAATATCTGACTGATTAAATAAAAATTTCGTGTTTTTTTACCCATCTATTATCCCTAATAACTGTGTTTCGTTATAGATCTTTTAGCTGTAGAAATGTCATAAAAACGCGTATCTAATACGTATTTTTTTGATTCAAGTTAATAAGAAATGGCTTACATGATCGACATTGAGGAATGAAGGCTCCCTACGTCAAAAGTATGTAGGAAATGACATCATGCGACATTTCAACTCAATTTATCGACATAATTTATTGTTTACGCAAAAAATCATAAAATACTTCTTCAATATTATTTAATAATTCTAAATAGTTTGTCCGATATAATTTTTTTTTAGTAATAAGCCTTATCCATTTGTTTTGTCCTGTATTGGTGTTTAATAAAGCATATTTCATCCATTCATAACCTACCCGACGGACAGACAAAAAAAATTGTCACCATCCTTATTAGACGATAGGCGTAGTAGATAGCATAATTAAATAATAATTAAGATTTTCGACTAGCTATTTTGACTTATCAATACTAATATTATAAAGAGGAAAGATTAGTTTGTTTGTTTGTTTGCATAGAATAGGCCCCAAAACCACTAAACTGGACAAAATATCTTTAACCTACGGATACATCGTACGCGGGTGACACAGGCTATAATTTACGCGGCCGAAGTCGCAGGACAACAGCTAGTTATAAAGAGGTTGTGGACGACATACACTGGCCGTCGGCTGTCGTTTATATATATATTTAATGTTTTTTATACTGCTGAATATTAGTCCTTAAATAGTGGTATTCAGTGAAAGTAATCCCATTTCTTCAAATTATTTATTAGGAGAACAAAAAGCACAAACCATCTTGAGTTAAGAGAGAGATGTCGGTAAAATAGAACGTCTAATTATAGACTAATACAGTGGTGCCATCTGTGTACAACTAGTGTATGTCGGTAAAAACAGATCCTTTAAATTAATAAATTAAAAATGCATTTAAGGACACGTTTCTTATTTACCATATAATTTTTGAATTTGTATTTTTAGTATTTGTTCTTTTAACTGTCTGCGTGTCCAATAGAGGTCAAGTCTATTATTTTGTTTGTAAGGGTATTCTTTGGAAATACTGTTCCGGAAGATGGAAGCAACATCATAATAAGAATTATAAACTTTAAAAAAATAGACCTTCAAACTTTAAAAAAAAGTGAAAATTAATACTTATTTCAAAAGTGACTTATACAAGAAAATGCTAATAAAGTCCGGCGGAGTCTTTAATGTATGTTTTTAGTTAAATTATAGACTTCAATAAGTCACTTTTGAGAGGAGTGTTATTTTTCCCTTTTTTAATTTTGAAGTAGGTTCTATTCTTTATAAAAAAAATCTTGATTTTTAATGAATTTGATATTTTTTATATAATAGGTACTTTTCTGAAAACCACGTCAAAACCGTGTTAAAGTGCGAAACTTTATTTAATCGGTCAATGTCCTAAAACCTTCACTTAAGTCTGACGAATACTATACTGAAAACCGCATCAAAATCGGTTCAGCCAAACGCGAGATAATCGTGCACAAAAATACATACATACAGGTCAAACCAAGAACCTCCCTCTTTTGAAGTAAATATATATTGAAGTGAAGCTATCCACGCGGCAGGTGATCGGGGAAGATGGAGTAATCCAGTCCGTGATGTAATTAACTAAAGAGATCACGACCCTCAGTAGTGAGGAAAATAGGCTTGTGTCCTACAAGTGAAAATACAGGTTTTTGTTATATCTTCGAAAAATATGAACCATTTTAACTTATAATTGTTTATAAGTTAAAATGGTTCATATGGTTGATTTGGAAAACTTTACGCTTTGAAAACTTGAAAAAAGTAGAAAAAATCTACTACAAAAATTTGCTAAAATACATTAGGCATTAAATTAAATATAAACAATGTTACAATTTTCATTATAACAACTATAAACATAAACGCACAAATAATAAAGATATTACAAAAAATGTCCAGACGCCCATACATTTTTCGCTACAGTACCACCATTTGACGTCACTTAGTGCCTTGAATTTGTAGGGAGCGTTTTCGGCCAACTAGCGGCAGTTCTACAAACACAGCACCGTATCACCGAAACTATTAATCGCAGACATGCTGTTACTTCGACATTATTTCTCAGATGTTAATGGACTATTTATTTATGAAATAAAAAAAAGTTGGCAACTAGCCTATTATGCAAGGAGGTAAATATATCATCATCAGCCCTTTTACGTCCCCACTGCGGGGGCTCAGGCCTTCCTTATGGATGGTTAAGGAGGATGGGTCATGACCCTCCACGCTGGCCCAATGCGGATTGGAGGGTATTAACGACTGCAAATGCAGCCGGGACCAACAGCTTTACGTGCCTTCCGAAGCACGGAGTAGCTCGAGATAATAATTTTTTGGTCACCCATCCCGTGACCCTTGCGAAAGTTGCTTAACAACAACGATCAGCGGTCCTCGGCGCTTATCCTCTACGCCACCCAGCTACTTATATATAACATATATATATATTTACCTGCCGAATTATATCAGGCAACTTTCCTGATGGAAAAAGCATAGCAAACACACACTCAATGAAAACCACGATTCGGCAGGCGTTACACATTTGACTTTTATCAATAATAATTTACATTCTATGTTTTATAAAGTTATAACAGCATTTCGTAACAGCAGTTCAAAGTCAGAGCGGTAAATTACGTTGTGGCATAGGCGTAGCTAGGGGTGGAGCCAGGGTAGGCCGCGCCCACCCTAGACAGCTGTGGGCTCACCCTAAAAAATTACTTTATGGACCCTAAAAGTGGTGGCTACTTCCAGGATGTCTAGTTTCAATGTTTTATGAATTCACTAGCTTTCCGCCAGCGGCTCCGCCCGCATGGTTTTGTATTATACGTAAAAACCTTCCTTTTGAATAACCCTATCTATGAAAAAAACCGCTTCAAATCCCGTTTTGTAGATTTAAAGATTTAGGCATACATAGGGATAAAGAAAGTGACATTGTTTTATACTATGTAGTGATGCTAAAATAACTTGACGTTTTAAAAGAATAAGCTCCTAAAGTGTTTAAGTTTAGAAGATCGCTGTATCTTCTTGGCGCTGTCAGACTGACGACAACGCGGCAGCGCTACAAAGACTATCGTAAGTAAGCACAAAGAGAATTCATTTCAAAATCAAATAGGGTGGCGCTTCTAACCTGACTCACAATGGAAGTTTCCAGAATATTTTTTAGCTTTATTATTTTTTTCAAATAGGTTTTATTTATTTTCCTTGGCTTCGCCGCTCAAAGGTGTCGCTATCTCTGAGATTCCAGTTTCGATTTCCAGACAAGTCAATGTAGAAATAGTTTTTTTTGCGTCTAGCGGTGTTATAATATCTTCGTTGTTTCAGATTTCGTAGTGCTTTAACTACTTGTACTTAAGATGTGAGCAACGTATGTGGTGTTTTCTAATATTTATTGAAAATATGTATAATATAGTTTTGCATATTAACATATTAAATTTATAAGACAATTCGCCAGTTGCACAAAAATCCATTAAAATTGTCATTAGTTTAAAGCGTCATTACCCATACAAATTCGATATCCATTAGAGCTTAAAGACGTCATTAAAAGTTAATGGATGTTTGTGCAGTCAATCGATCAATTATTTATTGCATAAAATATGGTGCGGGTACAACAGATTTCATAAAATAAGAGTATCACATATTTAATGTATAACAGTGTACAATAGTTTTAGTATGTAATATATTATTAGTTTTAATTTATAATTTTTTTTATTTTATTTACATTATAACCTTTTCATGCATTAACCTTATTATTATTTAACTCGCACATCATTGACTCAAATCATTTGATCAGTTCCTATTACATATTTATTTATTGAACTTTATTGACCAATAAAGATGGTACAAAAGGCGGACTTAATGCTAATAGCATTCTCTGCCAGTCAACCTTTGGGAAAACAGATAAACGCGATGGCGATACAGAGCAATTAAAATAAAAAACTACAACAACAAATACTAAACTAATCATAAACATACTACAACATACTTAAAATATAAATAACATTACACATAATTACATACATTTATTTCAGTCTTATAATTTAAAACATTAAATAGCAATTATTTCATAAGTAAATCAATTTACATGTTACAATAACAATAAGTATGCTTAATATACAAATCCATGTCAATTATAAAACAATTTTATCATGCACATTATAAAATATGTATGTCATTTATATAATACTAGCTTTTGCCAGCGGCTTCGCCCACGTGGACCCTAGGGAAATGTTTAGTGGTATAAAAAGTTAATACACTCCGATCCGCATTAGGCCAGCGTGGAGGGTCATGGCCCATCCTCCTTAACCATCTATAAGGAAGGCCTGAGCCCCTGCAGTGAGGACGTAAAAGGGTTGATGATGATGATGATAAAAGTAACCTTTTATCTAAGTATTTATAGACTTTTAGCTAATACCCTATCTGTATGCCAAATTTCATCAAAATCCGTTAAGTAGTTTCGGCATGATTTTATCCCCTTGGGGGTGGAATCAATCAAAATCCTTTTTTAGAGAATGCCTACGTCATAGTAGCCTTATTTATACAAAATCTCAGCCCGATCGGTTCAAAATTGACAAAGTTTCATCCCCTATTTTATCCCCTTGGGGATATGATTGATCAAAATCCTTTCTTGGCGGATGCCTACGTCATAACATCTACCTGTATGTCAAATTTCAGCCCGATCCGTCCAGTGGTTTGGGCTGTGGGTTGTAAGATCACTATGTGTGGGTAGATTATTGTAGATTATTGTGGGTAGATTATTTTCCCGTGGGAATGCGTCATTTTCCCGTGGTAAAAGTAGCCTATGTCCTTTCTTGGGTATTAAAATATCTCCATACCAAATTTCATGCAAATTGGTTCAGTGGTTTAGGCCTGATTAAGTAACAGACAGACAGATTTACTTTCGCATTTATAATATTAAATAAATATAATATTATTATATTAGTACAGATTTTGTTTTAATAATGTCAAATTACATTTCGGAATAACAATTTTATTTTGTCTCGAGCTTCGTGTATTTAATGTATTATTTTGGAATTCCAAATGTTCTATTTTTTCGTTTGCCAATGCTAGCTGTGAGCTCAGTTCCTCTAATTGTACTTTTAGTTCCGTATATGTACTATCGTCTAAAGATGATGTATTTGGAAGGTTTTTCGTGGTTGTGTCAAGAATAGCTGTTGTCCAAGGCATTGTCCATATTTGTATTTAAAAATCTTGATCTGTCTATTGAGTTTGATCTTTGTATACGGCGTCTGTGTGTTACATGTTCTTGTGATCATTTTGTATTTTGGTTTATTTCGTAGTATTTATACCCTTATCTTCATTAATAAGCTACGGAGGTCGTCAGTAAGCAACTGACCGTATATCACATACATTGCTTAGATTCCAAGATGAGCAGTTAAAGCACCCGTATTATGGAGTTACTTATACAACGAAGATACCACAACACCCAGACAGGAAACATAGAAGAGTCCATTTTCTACATTGACCCGACCGGGAATCGAACCCGGGACCTCAGAGAAACTGGCATGCGCACCACTGTAATTTAAGATGACTAAATTAAGATGATAATAGTTGTCATGGTTCTTTACATTAGAATTATAATTAATAACGGCATTGCTACCATGTACCGTATATTTATCGAGTCCTCGATATTGCAACAGCTCCGAAATATCGAGGACTCGATAAATATAAGGTCAATAACCTTAGATAATTTCATACTATTAAAAACGATTGCCAACTCAAAAGAGGAATTACAAGTCAAATGGCCAATGTTATTACATCCCACCTATCGAAGGAAGAAATGACCTAAAGTTAAGTACAGATTTCTCTGTCTCTTATCCCTATGTATGCTTTAATCTTTAAAACTACGCAACGGATTTTGACGCGGTTTTTTTTCATAGATAGGGTGATTCAAAAGGAAGGTTTTAATGTATAATACAAGACCACGCGAAGCTCTTTGTTGTAAAAAAAATGTTGTCAAATGAATGAAATATTTCTTCGAACCTGTCACGGCTGCAGAAAAGAAGAAACAGTTCTTGTTCAGAAACAAGAAAGTGTCCGGACAAAGCTGTTCTAATGGCTGGTTTTCACGGATTAAGCTGATTACTCAATTGTTAACTTAAAGAGGTAGTATTTAAAAAAAACGCACTAAAACTCTCCTCCACTAGATGGCGACTCTAGCAAAAGTTAATTTTTGCAGGAAACGAATGGACCAAAGACAGTAATTTCCGTTCCTTTTAACTAACATATTAAAAAAACTGAAATTTGAATACCTCCTCATTATAATTGGTTTAATTTTATAATGGCTAGTTTACACGAAAAAAGTTGATAACTTCGATCAAAAATTTTGACAAGCAGTTAATTTAATTTTAAGTGATTGAGTACGTTTAATCACTTAAAATTTAGTTAACTACTTATCAACTTAATCCGTGTAAACTAGCCAAAAGGCTTACTTGTATAAATGTTATCATTATAAATAAAAAAAGTGATTTACCTTGTTTGACTTTAATACTGTTTTAAAACTTAAAACACACACGGTTTCAAGGTGTCATCATCTCTGAGCTCCTGAGTTCGATTTCCGATCAGGTCAATGTAGAAAACTTTTTTATATTACCTCGGGTCTGGGTGTTGCAGTTTCTCGCTGTTTTAGATACTCTACAATGCGAGGGCCTTAGCTCATTGTGTAACATTCATCATTATTTATTTAAGTTGGCAAATTAAAATTTCATATTATATTATAGAGTAAATAAATAATATATGCATATCGAATGTTATAAAAAAAAATCATTAAATTTAAGTTCGGTCAGCACATCAAGTGCAATCATTCTGTAAATTTTTCCATTTGTTTCAAACCTTATCACATTTCTAGGAAAGTTCAAAATCATTTTGTTTTGTTGGTAGTAAAAGTGAAAAAAATTAAAACATTTAGTGCAGTTCACATTGCCTATTGGTACCTAATAAATGAAAGGGAAAGACCGAAAGAGACAATAGTTGCCTGTATCTAGTGGCGGACTAACCTCGTCGGGGACTCGGACTTACAACTTTTCCCAACCGGGGCAGAAACTTGATATTTCTATTACCGTATTTGAACTAAAATGTTCCTTTTAGTTTCAGAAAATCTTTCACTTTTTAAGCTTATTTTATTGCAGATAAGTTCATCCTTTAGGTTTGGAAAAGCAACATCAAACGTCATTGTCCCTAACCGCTTTAATTAGCTTATATGCGCTTTCCCAGAGCCAATCATTGCTTGATTTCCTTAATTTATTTACTGAGAATGGACCTTTTTACTCTTTAGTAACAAATATTACATATAGTACTGTTACCCATATCTGGAGATCCGTTATTGCAACACCACGTTATGCTTAGCCTTTAGATGCCCTTTCCAGGTACACTTCTGAATGAATTTCTGATCACAGTATTCACATTTGTATTTTCTTATGTTGGCGTGTATTTTCATGTGCTCCGTTAACGTCGTGTTCCTCCCGTACGACTTATTGCATACAGAACACTGATATTTCCTCTCTCCAGTATGTTTTAGCATGTGTTTCTTCAAATCGGTCGTCCTGAAGAATGCCTTGTCACATTTGTCGCATTGATGCTTTCTCTCCAGTAAATGATCCCTCTTCATATGTATAGTATAACGTTTTCTATTCGGAAAGGTCTTGGAACAAGCCTGGCACTTCATTTCGACCATCGCCACTCCGTGCATCTCAGCTAAATGCTTTTCCTTTTTTCTGTGATCCCTGAATTTCTCGTTACAGAAACCGCATTTGTTCCAACTCGTTTGCTTATGAATTATATTCTCGTGCGATCTCTGCTTCATAGACGTATCAAAGATTTTATCGCAAAAAGTGCACTCGAATTCTCCTTTTTTATGCGTAAAGGAGTGGCTATATAATAATTGTCGAGTCACGAATCCTGCATTGCAAACTTCACAAACGAAATTACTGTAATGGATATTCATATGCTGCATCAGACTCTTGAATTTGTTGAATGCTTGCGAACAGAAAACGCAACTTAGCAATTTTTCTTCGAATTTGAACGATATAATGCGGTCGTCTACATCGGTGTATATGTTTTTCTTGTGGTCAATGATCAAGTGATATACGAAATCATCTAAGCTATCGAAGCCGGTATCGCATATGTTACATTTCAACGCGGTAATGTCAAGTTTAACGAAGTAAGAATATATTACATTCATTTCCTTTGCCATCCATTTGGGTGCGGATTCAGCTTTGTGATGTTCTAAAGTGTGACTTTTCAGATCTGCTGGATCTGGATATTGAACTGTACAGTAAGCGCACGTGTAGCCGATACCGCCGCGGCTTCTGATTGGTGTTGCGTTCGAGCATTGCCTTATAGTGTTTAGATTAGAGTGATGCTTATATATTTCTCTTATATCCGTATCCGTGGATATATCGGACTTTCTCTTTGCAGGACGTGGTTTCAGCGGATTATGCGATACGTTTTCACTAGTTGTGTCAGCCGAACCTACAAAGAATAAATTATATTAGCAGTATTGTAATGGCTTGGGGACCTATTCCAGACAGTTTCAGAGTAAAAAATGTAGCCCTTTCTCTTTAACAACAGCTTTGAGATTTAAATCATCACCAATGAACCAAGACTCAAACAATTACAAGATGTCGTCTATCAGCAGTTGACTCACTCTTTGTTCTAGTGCCGTATTAATTCACTCTATTTAATATACTCGTAATTATGCTGGCAATGGGCTTTATGGAACCAAAAAAGGGTAGACTACACAACTCTCAATACTACGTTCTTATACATATACTTTGGTATTTTCAGAAGCGTCTGTTGAATATGTATCAGTTATATTCGAACGTTGTGTTACAAGAACTAAAATCAACTCCTGGATTGAGGAGATAAGGAACAAAAGATGACATTTATAATTTGTATCAGTAAAAAGAGGAAGTAAATATTTGTTATTTTGGTACTGTTTAAGTATTTTTATTTATGTATAAAAAAAAACCATTCGGTCTGTCGGTTTTAAAATTAAATTATTTCTAAAATGATTTATAGTGGTTTATCTATCACAAAGTTGATACCAAATGTTGATAAAGTACTTTAGAAAATAAAAGCAACATTGAATTGCTAAACTGGAGCGAACGGCGCTGCCTTCTAACAACAAAGCGTGAAGTCTGCTCGCCACTAGATGGTGTTCTGCGCCACTGAATTGCGCAAATTACAGAGCAAGAAAGAAACTGCAAACATTATAACGATCACGTGTCTAGATAAACGACGACAAAAATGGACGGGAAGCTGTTTTAAAACTTTTTGGAAATGCCGCGAAAACACTGGCAGGGAAGAAGCCAGCCAGTTCTAACTTAGAGCATTCTAGATAATGATTAAGATCAGTTCAGCTCATATTCATTCAATAATCAGTGAACTGACTACGAGAGCGCTAGCGGGGATAACTAGTGCGGTTATAACTGGACGATAATGTGATGGGAATAGTGAAGTTGGTGCTAGTGAATAGTGGTTTAAGTTTTTATTTTGGTCGAAGGATTATTTTTGTAATTTTTATTGGGTAAATAAAGTGCCGGATAGTAAACTTAATTGGTGTTAATTTTTATCTCGAATCCCAGCTCCTAACAATATATTTCAAATAATGTGCCAATTCAGATGAGAATTTAACAAACTCAAAGATATTTACTAAGATAGTAATACTTATAGATATCACTATATTTCAACTTATATAGCACTCCTTAAGCTTCACTACTGTAACTCAACAAAAATATTACTATTAGTTCCATAAAATCTAGTCAGCTTAATTGTTGCAGTCAATAAGTTCTTTCTTTGTAGTGAATAAAAAAGCAACTAAACCTTTTACGCTAAATGTCAGCTTTCATTCCTATCGCACTTAATTATCCTAAGCCCGCTTACCCAGAATCAAGCATTACTTGACTTTCTTTTTTCTCTTTATTAGCAAATAATATTAAGCCGAATATTCTGTAATAAGGGCAGTATTGTAACCCATTACCGAAGATCCGTTATTCCACTATCACGTCATGCTTGGTCTTCAGATGCCCTTTCCAGGTACATTTCTGAATGAATTTCTGATCACAGTATTCACATTTGTATTTTCTTATGTTGGCGTGTATTTTCATATGTTGCGTTAACGTCGTGTTCCTTCCGTACGATTTCTTGCATACAGAGCACTGATATTTCCTCTCTCCAGTATGTTTTAGCATGTGTTTCTTCAAATCGGTCATCCTAAAGAATGCCTTATCACATTCGACACATTGATGCTTTCTCTCCAGTAAATGATCCCTCTTCATATGAATAGTATAAAGTTTTCTATTCGGGAAGGTCTTGGAACAAGCCTGGCACTGCATTCCGATTATTGTCACGCCGTGTACCTCGGTTAAATGCTCTTCCTTTTTTTTGTGATCCCTGAATTTCTCGTAACAAAAACCACATATGTTCCTACATACTTGTTTATGAATTGCTTTCTCGTGCGCTTTCTGCTTTCTAAGGGTATCAAAAACTTTGTCGCAAAAGATGCACCCGAATTCTCCTTTTTTGTGAGTAAAAGAGTGGTTATTTAATAAGTGAGGAGTCGGGAAGCCGGCATTGCAAACGTCGCAAACGAAATTTCTGTAATGTATGTTCATATGCTGCATCAAAGTCTTGAATTTGTTGAATGCTTGCGAACAGAAAACGCAACTTAGTAATTTGTCTTCGAATTTTAACGGTATGATGCGGTCGTCTAAATCAGTGTATATCTTTTTATCATGGTCTGTGATCAAGTGATATACAAAATCATCTAAGCTATCAAAGCCGGTATCGCATATGTTACATTTCAACGCAGTAATGTCAAGTTTGATGACGTAAGAATAGATTTTATTCATTTCCTTGGCAATCCACCTGAGTGCGGATCCGGCAACGTGATGTTTTAGGGTATGACTTTTTAGATCTTCTGGATTTGGGTATTCATCTGTACAATAACAGCACGTGTAGCCGATCCCACCGCGGCTTCTGATAGGGGTTGCATTCGAGCATTGCCTTATGATGTTTAGATTGGAGTGATGCTTATATATTTCCCGTAATTCCGTCTCCGTGGCTATATCGGAATTTCGCATTGTGGAACGTGGTTTCGGTAGGTTATGCGATACATTTTGGCTACGTGTGACAGCCGAACCTACAAAGAATAAATTATATTAGCAATGTTTTAATGGATAGGGAACCTAATCCAGGCAGATTTTAAGAGTAAAAACTAGCTTGACATCTTTGAGTAGTCAAAACCAGCCAAATGTTTGTGATAAGATTAGAATCATCACCAATAAAGCGATACACAAAACGTTATGGCAGTCGTAGGTCCAAGGCTCAAACGATTACAAGCATGTCGTCTATAAAGATGGCGTCGGTGATTAATTTAAACCGGCGGGCGTTTATCAACAGCTGACTTATACTCTTAATGCTCTATTGACATATTAATTCACTCAATCTAATATCGTACGTTAAGAACGATAGTGACACAATGCAAAAAATGCGGTTTTGAGTAATGAGCGTTTAAAGTTCAAGAAATTGTACTTCGCCCCTCCAAACAACGTATCGTCACAACGCCACCTAGCAGTTTCTAAGCAAGCTACGTTCACAGGGATCTTTGCATTTTAAAGTTTATACTTAACAAAGAAAAATGTTACCAAAAGTAAAAAATAAGTCGTTTTTGGTTAGTGACATTGTCATTCTCAACGTACGATATATGACGGTAACAGGCTTTTTCTATGGAACCAAAAACAGTGTAGATTACACAACATTCAATACTACGTTTTTATACATATTATTTGGTTATACTCAGAAGGTATGTTCAATATATTTCAGTAATATACGAACTAAGTTTCTTAAGTTAGTAATGTTCCAGTGTAATGAATAATGGTAAATAAGTAATGAAATAGGAGCAACATGTAAGTATCAACAAATCGGTATGATTATACATCACATAATATTATGTTATTTTCTTCTACAGTTAACACGCGGATTAAAGAGGTTAGGAACAAAAATGACATTTATAGTTTTCAGTCAAATCAAAATAATCTTAATTCATATAAACTAATTAAGTATAGTTTATTTGGACAAAGATTATGTTGACAGTATTGGAGGAAAAGCCTCCAACATTGGACGTCTTTGGCTGGTAACAGGAACGAAGGAAAGAAACTCACTAGCATTAACAGAAGTAACGAAATTAGGAAAAACCATGACTTTACCAAATCAATATTAACGTTATGAATAAAAAGCAACTTCATGATTTTGTAATTTATTAGGTATCCTAATCAATGTTTCATGAAAAACAATCAAAAATCTTAGCTATGTCAAAGGAACACCTAATGCGTCATGTAAATCTTCTAAAAATTTGTTGCAATGATTCAAATTAAAAGTAACATTGTATTGAAAATATATATTCGTATGTGTTTATATATTATATATTATAAAAAATGTGCTGATTTATAAGAGACTTTAACAAACCTAAACTTATTCACTAAGATAGATAGATACCTAATTTTTTTTATGGAATAGGGGGCAGTCGAGCAGACGGATCACCTGATGGTGAGTGATTACCGCCGCCCATGGACACCTGCAAAACCAGAGGAGCTACAAGTGCGCTGCCGGCCTTTGAGGAACGAATAAGCTCTACGCTTGAAACTTTGAGGGTCGTATCGGTCCGGAAATACCGCTGTTCCAGAGTTTGGCCGTGCGAGGCAGAAAACTTCTAGAAAAACGTACAGTTGAGGACTTCCAAATATCCAGATGATGGGCGTGGATTTCTTTTCGCGTGGAACGATGGCGGAAAGTAGCGACAGGTATGAGTCCGAACAATTCATGGTATAGTTGTATTAACCTCTACTAATGTAGAGTACTCAAAAAAAAATACTTTTGGTTCCAGAAATTTCGTCTTTTTCTGAGCTTAATTATTTTAGGTAATGACATCCATTAATCGTTAAAGTTTAAAAACAATAGCAACTAATCCTAATAATTATTAACGTCAAATGTCATCTTTTCTTTTTACCATCCATAATAAACGAAAGCATGCTTCTAAATTTTACAATTTTAGAAGAGTTAATAATAAATATAAGACTGCTTGGCTAACCCACAAACAATGACATATTATCTAGTTTACAATACGATTTTAGGAGGGGAAATCAGCACAAGATGCAGTTATGGATATAACGACTTTAATATCAGACAAGCTTAGTCTCCATATCCAAACAAAAGGAATAAATGGAAGACAAAGGGGATAAATGCCTTAACGTATTCCTAGACCTCGAAAAGGCATTTGAAATAGTTTTTTTAGTCTAATTTAACGAAAAGGCTTGAGAAACCAGTTACCAGTGTTAGAGGAACTGCTCTCTCTTTGTTTGAAATAATCTAAATGAAAAAACGAAAAAAAATAATTAAATAATTCAAAAATGAATGCTTAACGCAATGAGTTCCGCAAGGGAATGTCTTTAGCCCGACACTGTTCTTATTTTATACTTATAAATGATTTGTGTAGTTAGGGAAATAGTATTGGTTGAGGTTGCTGTTACGTGGACGATATAGCCTCCCGTATTTTCTAGGTTGAAAAAGTTACTGCGGGTCGAATCTAGCCAAAGCGCTTAATTGGTTAATACAAATCTATTAACTCTCAGAGTACTCAGTAGTAGCTAAAACAAATCATATATGCTTTACTCCTAGCTAGAGATAGCAATCTCTGGCAAAGGGTAGGGTAAAGCAAATTTACCTTTTATACTAAAATATGCGGATATGAGTTGCAACTACCTCCGCCTCCTAAAAGCAACTGATACTAAGCATCTCGACGTTTTAGTTCATGAAAGGTTATCACAGCATTCGCTGATTGATTTAGTTAACGAATTAGGAATAACGTATTGCATTCTTATTTGGGGAGGAGCTACAAAATGTAAAATTTTGGAAATGGAAAGGGTTTAAAGTTCACTCTTAAAGATATCATATTTCCAATCAATTTAGTGCCTTTATAAGCTATACATTACTGCAATCAATCAGACAATTATTACGATTCGCACAGAATTGGCCAGAAGTCAATATTCCAGACAATAAATTTCTATTTATAATTCCCTAAACAATACATTAGACAAAAATATGTTTTCAGTGTTGATACTAAATAAAAAACAAAACATAATTAAGTGGCTACATACTACTAGGAAACGAAACAGGGTATGGAAACAATGTTTTTGACTAGAATTTTTAGCCGACTTAATATAATGGTGGTGTTAATTTTTTTGAAACAGTCAATATATATGTAAACACAAAAAGCATACTCAGTAGTTAATAAGTTTTGTATAATGATAATATCCAAAAATTGTTACTGGTTTTAGGTTAAGAACGAGGCATCACAACACAAGAATAAGAAATACTATCTGGGGTCTTCTCAATATATAAAAACCTGTTATTAAATGGGAAATAAGAACAATTATTATTATATTTCATATATATTTATACTTCACCAGAGCCAAGCATTACTTGGACTTTCTTTGACTTACTCAGTAAAACTAGATTCTGTAGCGAATTCTGTTTGGCGTGTTTTCTATGAGGACAGTATGGCTACCCACTCCTGGAGATCGTTATTGTAATACCACACCGTGCTTAGCCTTTAGATGCCCTTTCCAGGTACACTTCTGAATGAATTTCTGATCACAGTATTCACATTTGTATTTTCTTATGTTGGCGTGTATTTTCATATGTTGCGTTAACGTCGTGTTCCTTCCGTACGATTTCTTGCATACAGAGCACTGATATTTCCTCTCTCCAGTATGTTTTAGCATATGTTTTTTTAAATCAGTCATCCTAAAGAATGTCATGTCACATTCCTCGCATGGATGCTTTCTCTCCAGTAAATGATCTCTCTTCATATGAACAGTATAAAGTTTTCTATTCGGAAAGGTCTTGGAACAAGCCTGGCACTGCATTCCCATTAGTGCCACGCCGTGTATCTCAGTTAAGTGCTGTTCCTTTTTTTTGAAATCTCTGAATTTCTCGTTACAAAAACCACATGTGTTCCTACATGCTTGTTTATGAACTGTTTTCTCGTGCGCTTTCTGCTTAAGAAACGTATCAAAAATTTTGTCGCAAAACGTGCACTCGAATTCTCCTATTTTGTGAGTAAAAGAGTGGTTATATAACAAATTACGAGACACGAAGCCGGTATTGCAAACGTCGCAAACGAAATTATTGTAATGGATATTCATATGCTGGACCAGAGTCTTGAATTTGTTGAACGTTTGCAAACAGAAAAGGCAACTAAGTATATTGTCTTCGAATTTTAACGGTATGATACGATCTTCTAAATCAGTGTATATCTTTTTATCATGGTCGGTGATCAAGTGATATATGAAATCATCTAAACTATCAAAGCCGGTATCGCATATGTTACATTTCAACGCAGTAATGTCAAGTTTGATGACGTAAGAATAGAGTGCATTCATTTCCTTTTCCAAAATTTTGCGTGCAGATTCGTCACTATGATGTTCCAGAGTATGGCTTTTAAGGTCATCTGGATTTGGGTATTCATCTGTACAGTAACAACACTTGTAGCCGATACCACCGCGGCTTCTGATGGGGGTTGCGTTCGAGCATTGCCTTATTATGTTCAGATTAGCATGATGCTTATATATTTCTCGTAATTCTGTCTCCGTGGCTCTATCAGCATTTCTCTTTGTGGAACGTGGTTTCTGTAGGTTATGCGATACATTTTGGCTACGTGTGACAGCCGAACCTACAAAGAAGAAAATCTATTAGCAGTTGTTTCAGAGGATTAGGAACCTACGCCGAGCAGTCTTTAGGATTAAAATCTAGTTTTCTCTTTAACGAGAGCTTTAAGTGTCACCTCTATACCTGAACCAGGATTGACAAATGTTGATAATTAGATTTACCAATGCACAAAATCATATAGCCCTCGTAGCTCCTAATTTCCAATAATTACAAGTCTATAAAGAAGGATGACATCTTCTGTTTTCTAAAACCAATGATTAGTAGTTGTAGTGATATTAACATACAACGTATGTTGGTTAGACAACTCTTAACACTATGTTCGTATATTATTCGCTCATCTTCAGAAGGGCCTACTGAAAATATGTTTGTTTCGGTATTGGGGATGCTGATATTTTTTTTGTCTGTTCGTCAGGCAGACTACTGAAGAATATATTTCAGTTGAAATAGCGTCAAGCCTTTGTACATTTTCTCCCATTCAACTTAAATGCCTATAATAGGCATTCTTGAACTTAAATGCCTATTATATAAGCCAGTTCTTGATAAAATTAAACAAAAACACGTATCCAACTTTTTACGTTATCTGACTAGCGGACTGATTAGAATTTCTTTCTTTTTACCCAGTCATCATCCTTATTATACTTAAATACACGAATTTCGGTATAATCCTTTACTTTGTATGAATCAGTGAACGAACTTCATTGTAAAGTACCTCAATTATCTAAATAGTTAGCAATAGTAGATGCAGGAAACGGTTACATATTATTTTTCGAAATATTTTTTTCTCATTTTCACAAACAATACTTCTTGTTAAAGCATAAAATATTTATAAGGAAATGTAATGTACTTATTATAACAATTGTAAATCGAACTAATTGATGAAACGACTACACGTTAAAGGGCTGCAGTGAGACAATACATTTTTGGTTTTATAATATGCACTAATCTGATCAAAAGTTCGGAGTATTATGTTTAGAAAGCAGAAGGCCCTTTGAACTGCACTTCAGAATAAAGGCTTGCTTGCAAAGTGTACAATGAGGAAGTATTAAAAAAAAACGAAAGCACTAAAAAAGCACCTCCACTAGATGGCGACTCTAGCAAAAGTTGATTTTTGCAGAAAACGAATGGACCAAAGACAGTAATTTCCGTTCCTTTTAACTAACATATTAAAAAACAGAAAATTGAAAAAGTTTGAAACTTAGATATCAATACAAATACGAAAAAATACAAATAAAATATGAGTTGTTAATTTACTTTTATACATGGAAGAAAACCGGAAGGGTTGTCATGGAGAAATCAAGAACGTTCCGTAGCGACATCTAGTTCGATTTCGGGAACTAATGTTTTTTTTTAATACTTCCTCATTAAACCTTCTATCGTTAACGTATATTCGCAAATACAAATCGAACCTACGATTTCCTTTCGAAAATACGATTTAGAACAGACGTCGCAAGAATAAAAATTTTCCGAACTGGAGCTGCTATCATCGCAGCGACAACAAAGTATTTTATTATCTACTACGGAAGTCGTATTCATGACCACATTTGGCCCCTAAAAAAACTTTGCGGATCAAAACACTATTGAATATAATATATCAAGTGAATATAATCATGATACTATTTGCTTGAATGAATAATCAAAATGCATTTCAGTAATTAAGATTTATTCTTAATCATTGAAATTGATTTTCATTAACGATGTAAATGCATACAGTGTTATTAATAAACAAGGGTGTTGAAGTAAATTTAAGCTGTGACTGCACTTAGTATCAGTCAACATTTTAAAAAGAGATTTAGCAAAGTTTAACGTAGTATGAGGTTCTACTGGTGTAATATTTAGTCCAAGAAAGGTTTGCTTATTATCTGTATAATATAAATTACTAAAATTGCCATTTTAGCGTAAATTTGCTCCTTGCGTAAAACCTTGTTTATTAATAATACTGATAGATATTAAGTATAAAATTATTTAAAAGAAGTATCAAAAAGTCTAGTGAAGTGTGAAGTGTTAGTTTATGGACAAGATAGCAGTGGCTGCATTACAAAATGCCGTCGTAGAGAAAATTTAGGACAAAGGGACACAGTGCTTTTCAGTGTTTTATTGACATAAATGAAAACTATTTTGAAACTATAGAAAAACCTAATAACTTACTACTTTGCTCAGTTTTCTAAGAACTTTAAGATTAACATTCGTATCCCAAAATGAAAATAAATAGTTAGTGTAATATATTATATTTTCTCAACATAACAAGTTCAGAATTTTGTGTTTAGAACGCAAATGGCCCTTCAGACTGCATTTATGTACAAAGGCTTGATCACAGTATTCACATTTAAACCTATTGTCAGCGTGTATCCGCAAATGTTCCCTCAACGTGCCTTTTGTACCGTACGCCTTTGAACAGATATCGCATTGATATTGCCTAAGGCCTGTATGTTTTAGCATGTGAGTTTTTAAGGTTTTCGACGAGAAGAATCTCTTTTCACACAACGCACATTCATGGGGCCTCTCCATCAGGTGGTCTCTTCTCGTGTGCCTGGTCAAACTAACTCTGCTGGGAAATATAAGGTCACAAGCCAGACACTTCAGCTTAATAGGCTCTCTCCCGTGAACTTTGACCATATGATCTAGTCTCTTTTTGTAAGAGGTAAATCTTTGGAAACACTCTTGACACTTGCTTCTTGCGTCCGTATCGCCTTTGTGAATGAACCTCTCGTGGTGATCCCTTTTATACGAAGTCTCGAAAATCTTTTCACAAAAGCTGCAGGCGAAGTCACCCTGCTCTTCCTTTTCATATGTTTACGCAATGTACCCATGTTAACGAAGGGCATGTCGCAAATATTGCACATGTAATTGTTGTAATGCATCCTCATATGTTCTTGAGCCAGCTTAAAACTAATAAAGAATTGTGAACATATGGGACATGTCACGCCTTCTTTACTGAACTTGAACGGAAGTATGTGATTGGTGATATCGTCGTACCATAGTCTATCGTGTTGACTTCTCAAATGGCGTACGGCGTCTTCTAAATTGTTCAAGTCGTCCTCGCATAATATACACTTAAAGTCTGTTATATCAAATTTGGCTACGAGTTCCTGCCAACAGCATATGCGCATATAAATCTTATCAGCATCTCCATGTTCATACAGCGAGTGTTGTTTTAGTTCAGGGGGTGTAGGAAATACGTCGTTACAATAGCCACAGTAATAGCCTTTTCCGTTGTAGTTTCTAATTGGATTTGCGTTAGTGCCAAGGAGTATTTGTCTCATGTTATGCCTATGTTTGTCTAATAGCTTTGATATTATTCTATATCGGCTTTTTACTTCTTTAGGAGTACTTATTTTTTGCTCTAGACGTCCTTTACCGTTCTTCATAGTAACAATATCGGTAGTTAGACTTTTCTCTAGTTTCGACGAGTGCCCTACGAGTAGATCTCTCAGTGCATTACTTTCACAAATATTAGACGAATCAAGATGCTCTTTTGGAACACTTATTGTTATCTCTAGGCGTTGTATGCCTTGAACGCTCTGCATTGTAACAGTCCAATCGGTAGCTCGACCTTTCACAGGTTTCGACGGGTTCCCTAACAGTAGATCTCTTAGTATACTACTTACACAAACATCAGATGTATCGCGGGACTTACCTATAAAGAAAAACTTTAAATTAAATTCCTCAATACCTCATTTATCGTACTTTAATCGTAATTTTTATAGTAACAGTGAACAGTAACAATTTCTGAAGAATTTCACGTTCATAAACGCTGTTTGGTTTAGGTGAGTTTAGATGTAATGCGTTTGACAGTTTTCTTCGGTCTTATTTATTTAAAATTCCTATTCATAACCTTTTTTTTAACATGAATATCGTCTCATCTCATTACGTGTTCATAGATCCAAGATACTAATTTCTCTGACTCTGGCGCTACTTTCAAACTTCCCTTGGTGTACCATTTCATCCTTAATTTAGTCTACTTGACACTCATTAATAGCTTAACGGTATTTTTTTTGGGAAAAAAATATACCGTTTTTTCAAAAAATAAAACTGATGTTCATTGAATTATCTTGTATACATAATATAAATAAACTTGCTTTCCGTTGTCTGCACAATGAGACCTTTTAAATAACACAACGGAATTTCATCAATATACAGTGGATTCAAGAAGGTATGTGTGTATGTATGAGATGAAATAAAGTGATTTTTAAAATTTGGTGTAGGTACCTAAGTCTGTACAATTTAATTATTATTATTTTCGGTACGTTTTATTTATAATCAATATTACGTCAGACTATACATATCTGTCAAGTTTCCCCACTCGACCTTAAATCATCAAGGATAGAGGTCAAAAACCGTTGCAGATGTTCGACATAATTTGAACCTGCAACCGTATGTTTTATCAATACTAAAGCTATGAAGAGAAAAGATTTGATTCCACAAAAACGAATAGACCAATTTAAAAAATCTTTCACCTAATAGAATCTACTTCATATGCGTGTACAAAATGAATGATATTATAAGAATTGATTTGAATTATATATTTATTTTATGGACATAAATATATCAGAGAAAGTTAATAATAAATGTTGTATTTTAGATAAAAAATTAACACTCGGTGTTTATCTAAATATATACAACTCAAAGGTGACTGACTAACATAGTGATCTATCAACGCACAGCTCAAATCACTGGACGGATCGGGCTGAAATTTGGCATGCAAGTAGATGTTATGATGTATGCATCCGCTAAGAAAGGATTATGATCAATTCTACCCCCAAGGGGATAAAATTGGGGATGAAGCCGATCAAGCTGCGACTTTGCATGTATAAAGCTATTAAGACGTAGGCATTCCCTAAAAAAGGATTTTGTTAAATTTCACCCCTAAGGGGACAAAATAGGGGATAAAAGTTTGTATAAATCTTCTTAGATTTTCGACTGATTTTTTATTTATAACTTATAAAATTTATCGTTATAAGTGAATAAGTTTTATTACTACCATGCCCTACGTCTAAGCCAGCGTAACTTGTATAATACCTTATGCCCCTATGTGCCCTGCGTAGTATAAATTAATATTAGTATTTTTAAAATCGGTATAGTAATTTTGGAACCTATTCAATGCAAAAAAAAAAATAATGAAATCTTTCCTTTTTATTAGTATAAATAAATTTGCTTTTGAGTAAAAAAATATATTTTGTCTTTAAATGTAATCATAGTTTATTCTATTACGATTATTATTTTATTATGAAAGAGAGATCATGTAACTAGAATAAATAATAGCAGAAGAATAAACAAACTTATTTATATATTTAAGCACCTAGAAAATACGCAGATAAGTGAAAACAGGTATATAGGCTCTAGGCCAGAGTATATTGAAATTCTTCGTGGGTTGGAGCTACGATTTAATTAAACTCATTCAGAGGGCAGTTTTAAGAGGCTGAATAGTGCCAAATCGATAAAATTGATCTAGGATTGTACTAATTCACGGGAAACCTATGGTAATCCAAAAATTTGTGGTTATACTTGATCGTATTTCTGATCTTGTGGTTGAAACCGAAACATGATTGTATTAACTTTACTCGATAGAAAATAATTCTAAAGTAGCATCTAAAAATATTGCGAAAGGCACGTTTCTCAATTATGTGATACATTAGAGTAATGATATTGAGTACAAATATGTATCAAAGGTTGATATGAAAGTTGGTTATTCCCAATTTTTGATATTGTTATTATAATAATTAATATAATTTATTTTGTGATATGGCACATATGGTCATTTTTTTCAAGCAACTTTAAAGTATTGACATTTCTGTCACTCCTACTGCAATTGACAGGGAAGGCTATAGAATAACGCACACTAACTTAGTTCACGCTGAGGCGTGTTGCTAGATGGACCTATGTTGCTTTGTGCAGCGTTCTGACGTACCGAGATCGCTAAAATTGTAAAAAAAAGAACATTTAAAATAAGTATTTTAATTTCGCTCTCGTTTTAACAATATCTTTGGTGTAATGTACTAGGGTAGGGACCCGAGTGTCTCGAAGTTGTAAGTTCTAATCCCACTAGAGCTCGCATTTTTTCAAGTCGTTTTTTTATTATTTTATTCTAATTTTCATTTTTTTTTTGCCATAATTTTAAAAAGCAACTTTTTTTTATTATTATTATTAAACAGTATAAAATGTGAAAATAAATATTTCGTTAGTATGACGTAGGCAAAAGTCAGACTGACATTTTCATACAAAAGCCCCGATATTGATGAAATAGTTCCAATAAAATACATGTTCGTGTTCCAATCCCATCAAAGAAGCATTTTTGTTTTACTTTTATCTTCTTTTCCCCGATATATTTTCCTCTCTCATTTTTTTATAGGTATATGTTAATCATTAATAATTCGTTAAAATAATTTTGAATATTATTTTATACAGTAATTAAGTATTATTTAATTATCTAGTCTAGTTGATAAATTTAATTGCTGTAAAAATATATAACATAAAATTTGACAATAGGTAAATATTTCCATAAAAGTATGTGTTTGCAAAAGTTTGACATTTTCATGCAAAAACCATCCCGTAGACCGTTACTCTAGTAAAAAATAATTCCTAATCAATCATATTGTGTAAATAAAATAGTTCAATAAATAGGTATTACTTTATAAAACAGATATAAAAAAGGGAATTAGTTACTATTGAATGAATTTGAAAATTATGGAAACAATGTACTAAATAATAATGTACAGGTTATTCACAGATTTTATTCAAGTTTGGTGTGGCGCAATGTCCTATGTGCTGGTCACTAGGTACTCATTGTGCCGCAGATCAAAACCAAGTTTCATGTTATTATTTTTTTACCCAATATTTTTATTATGAGAAATATAATATTAAAAATTATTTATGTGTTTATACTAAAATATAAATTATTATATTTAACAATTGTATAGATATTATTTTTGACATTTTCATGGAAAAACGACTGGATAAATTTCGCGGTAATTTGATACAAAAATACCTCTAGATATCCTTTATTGGTTTGCAAACTATTGCAGTACGCAACAGGCGTAGCCATACAATTATTGATAATGAAAAACGAAGGTTTTTCTGTAAGGTAAATGTACAGTGTTCCGTACACTAGTACACAATTTTAAACGATACTCAATAGACTATAGTTGTATTGCAACCAAAATAATACAATTTTAAGCATATTTGGTAATTTTGATAGTGGATTGGGTAGTTTCGATAGTGAAACGTAAAGCACGAATTTGCAGAATCATTGAAATTTGCTTTAAAATAAAGAAAGAAAGAAAATTTATTGACTACATCTACATGAACACAATGATAAAATATAAGAGAAGAAAAAAAAACAAAAATACAAATAAAAAAAATAATAAAAAAATAATCATATCTAGGCTGATTTTGAGTAATAAAATCGCATAATTATCTTAACATATCAAAATTAAAGGTCCAGTCTTTTTGTTTATTCATCATGTGACTTAAAAACATAACCCACCATTACGTGACGACACTTCGTTTGAATATTTTCTGAATCTAACATCTGTCAGTAGTTGTAAAAAAATAAATAAACAGCAGCCGATTTGACAGAAAAAGCAGATTCCGAGATAATACTGTTCTTACCTTATTTAATATTATTATTTTGTCGAGATCGTTAGATAACACCGTTTTCGTTTGAATAACATCATATTTAGTTTTTTTTTATATATAGGATCAAATAGTTATGCAAATTTATATGAACATAAAATTAAAACATTAATAAACACATAGTTCCCTACATTACATTTGTTAAATTGGTTGATTGTTAAAAATAATTTAATCTGTTTGTACATTACTGTTATTTAATTATTATTATTGATATTTCAATCTGTACATAACAGAATATCGTCATGAATATGGCAGACGGTGTTTTTATGGGTGTAAAAAAGTGGAATTATGATTTAATTTTAAGAAAAGAAAACGTTTTTAATTTTTTGGAATATTTTGTTGTCGATTATAAACACTTACAAGTACCAAGTAAGTACTTTTGCAATCAGAGTATAACACCCTATTATAAAAGCCGTGACAAGTTTTCGAACGTAACTGATACTATCGCACCGCTATTTCGTAAGACGTCGTTCTTTGACTTTCTTAAGATACTGGTAAATTTATTGAAATAAAATTTGTGAAGTCGTTTTAGCCATTAATTGTTATCAACAGAAGGTTTTATAATTAGAAAACTATATATTTTTTTAAATCTACTTTCCGCATCACGGACGCAAACCTGTGGCGTATGGTTACCGTAATAATTGAAAATCGCTCCAATATGTTACTAAATTTTATTCCTGACTGAGTTTGGCATAAAAAAATTAGATGTGAATAATTCGGTAATCAGCATTGATTATTGTGACGTAAGTGTGGTAAAAGTTTTACGGTAAATTTTACAATTCAGTTCAACTCTAAGCACAGAGTTGAGGACAAGCTCGACATTCAAAGAAACGGGTGATTCTCTAGAATATCTAATCAGGACTCTGGGTTTGGGCAATCCCATTCTGAAAAGGGCAGATTAGTGTAACTGGCCGTAAGGGCAGGTAAGTGTAAATGATAAAACCAGCCACGATTCACCTCACATGGATGCATAAGTTCAGTATCGGTATGAATATCGGAATCTTAGAACAAATTGTTGATACCTGGGAGAATTCACACAACGTTTTAGGTGTTTTCTGTGACGTACTTAAAGCTGCTAATTATGGTGTTCATGAAAGATATAACGAATCTTCATATTATGAATTTAGAGATAACTAGTTAGATTTTGCTGTCTCTTAGTTCAGTGGCTTTGTAGGAGGTTCATATCGGTGATAAGAAATCCCCTGAATCGATAGATCAACACCTATCATGGGTGTTTCACAGTGCTCGATGCTTCTTTTTTAATTTATATAGACAAATTGCCTCCTTTGGTAAAGGATAATCACGAAATAAATTTGTTTACAGTGACAATTCCGTGAAGTATAACTTCACTCTTATTTAAAATTAAAAGAGGACGACCAGTTAATGACGGTGTGAATAGTTCTATTCTCAAAGTAGTACATTGGTTTAATATCTTATGTGTTATTCACGTTGAATTTTAAGCCTTTCATCACTCATAATCTTGCTCCATGACTATCGCTTCATTTGCAGATTGAATGGATTCTATGTAAGCACTATGGTAGGTATCATCTGCATAAAGAAAGCAGCTTTAAACTGGCGATCCCAACGAAATTCATAAATTTTATTCTATAGAGGCAACTATTCAAACAATGTGTTGCTCAATAAATATCTAGAACAACCTCAAATATGATGAAAGGTTGGGTTATAGTAAGTTTTTGTTATTGTTTCATTTGGTCGTATAACTTTTTACTGAGGTTATGTTTGGCCAAAATACTTGTAAAGATTCATTACACCGTTATATTATTTGCCACTAGCTGGTGCCCGCATCTACGTTCGTGTTGTCTCATACCAAAGATTTTGTAAGCTTAAATTGTATATTGTGGATTGAGTAGGTTATAACTTAATGAACCTGTAAAGGTAGAATTCTTTTTGTACCAAAATTCTACAGTCTGCTGACGGTGCCAACGGTATATATGATTAACAATAATATTTAATATAAAAATTTATAAACTTTATTGGTGTTTTTTTTTTATTCGGGTGCCAAAATATAGAGCCCAGAGACGTTGCTAACCCTTAAAACAACAAGGCAAAGTTGGGCATTAGAAAAACAGGTAATTTTCAGTTCCACACCAGCAACTTTTATTCTCTCAACAGCATATCAAAGTCGATCAGAATTCCGTGGTTTACTGCGCTGTTTTTATATCTTTGCGTACTTCAGAAATTGTTTCTATCTCATTTTCTGGTAGATCTAAAGATTTTGGGCAATGTATGAGGATGGTCAGTTTTTCACTGGCTTAACTGGATTCTAGAGACCGAAGATTCTATCCGTTTTTATTCTTAGAAAATTTGATCATGTGTCCCTATATCGTTAAAATTCAAAATGGACGTCCATCCGGAAGCGAAGAAGTATGCGTGCTTTACTACGTTATCCTCTCTGCTGAAATCTCCAAACACTCTTTCTTATCTTAACTGTACTTATGTACCTTTCACACCAAAACTCTTTGTTCCTCCTCTAATCGTCTACTCTGCCCATCTCATTTCTCCGAAATCGTTCACTCTTCGTTCTTCGTCAAATCTATTCCTTTGCGGGATGAATTTCCATTCTACTTGTGTCTACAAGAATTATCAATAAATAATAAATTAGCTTCTAAAAACAAGTTATTCTATAGCAAATGTTTCATTGTTTGGAACAAGCAAATTCATTTAATCATTAATTACTTTATGATTTATGTATTTTTATAGTAATTATGTATGTATGTATATACATACATACATAATTACTATAAAATTAGGATAATGATATTGCCGTCTTATTATGTACAAAGTTAATTTTAATATATTTAAAACTAAATCCAAATTATCTTATCAGAGCTTTTTGACACATTGCATTGTCTGTTTCTAGAGTAGACGAAAAAACGGACAATAAACCTTAGTATTTACATGATCGTTGAAAGACAACGATACGTATCGCTAACCATAGATCTTTCCCTTTCCCGCGTTTTGTTGTACGCAACAAGGTCACGAACTTGCCCTGTACAACAATAGAGAGAACCCCGTGTCCACATCATCCTAAGGTTTACTGGTAGAAAATGGCCATGGCATTAAGTACGCCAATGTGTATTTGTGCAAAAAATGTCAATAAATAAAAAAAATATTTATTGTTAAGAAGTCATATTTATCCGATGTTATAGTATAACTAGTATCTTTGAGGACCACATTATATGTTCTGGATCTTTGACTTTTGTACTCTTAGCAGAATATATTGATCAGGCACAAAATTTTTTCTTAAGGTGTCGCTGGTCTGTTGTGGTTGTGCATCAAACTTTTAAGTTTCCAAAATTAATTATACCCCATATATTGCCCAGGTATTAACAAAATAAGTTTCATACAAATATACTCAGTAATCCCGAAAATTAACGTGTACATACAGATAAATAGACAATATTTTTTAAATTCGTATTCTATTATTGTTTATTAACCACCCTCAATTTCTTTCTTTTTTTTTGTAAATATATTCAATGTACAGACATTATTTTTTTGCAGATTTGTTATAAGTATAAAACGTGTAACAGAAATAACGCACATCCTTATACAACCCAATTAGAAAATGGATTTATAAATAAAATTAAACATTGTTTATGACACAGTTATACTTATTGCTGGGTAACGGTGTGGACATTTTACAAATCAACACAATGACGTGAAAATTACGGCTTCAGTATTTTTTAAGTTAAGGCAATAATTATGATTCTTATTTGTTATGAAAATCAGCTAGTATAGTCTTGCTATCATATATCCCATAATCCTTAGGCACTTCGATGTATTTATTAACTGTATGTTAGTATATAGGGATTCTTACTTAATAGGGATTTGACTTAATAGGGATTCGATGGACAAAACAGTTTTTCTCTATATTTTTAATTACAGCTACAATGTTATGCAAGAATATATTTTTTTATAAATCGAAAACAATTTTCTTTTAAAATAAAATACATTTTCCATGACAAAAACAATCTAAGCCAATGATAAGTTTATCTGTAAAAACTATAGTGAATTTTCATTTAATAATTGCAGTATTATGATTGTTTCGGAGTTCATAAAAAGAGTGTTTTTGGATGACTTTGCCTTCCCTACAAGCTCTTTATCCTTAATGTACTATTTAAAATATGGATAGACTTTTAAGATATTGTTTTTGAATCAGTTCGCTTTGCAGTATCAAATAAAAAATGTCTGACGGCAACTTTGAAATCATCTATATTTATGGGATTAATAAAATGATTGTGTTTTAATGGTTTTATCCTAACCGGTCAACCAGTCCTATACTTTGATGATGCGTCAGTATTACAAAATATCATTCCACCTCCATAAAAGGATCATGGCTAGAGGAAAAAATAACTTTTCTTCAAGTTATGAAAACAGGATATGTTTTATTAACTCCAGTCCAAAGATCAGGTAGAGTCCAATTCTTAAAGCATTAATTATTTTTAAAAGGGCCATGAAATGTTCGACAGCAAGACAATGGTAGAAACAGGCGCATCTACCCTATATTCTCATAAAAACGATTCTAAAATTGCTTTTTTTCTCCTCCTCCGGAAAGTTCGATATGGATATGTGTACTAACTACAATGACTTCCAATTAATATTGCATATGGTGAATATTCGTTTACGTAAAGCTGACCTACCAAAAATTCGTACAATTAAAACGTATAATGACTCTTCTTGTAATGAGAATAAGGTATGAAAGTCCGTCTCAGTCAAACTCGGCGGGGATTAGGTGCCATGACGTGATATTTGGTTTATTCTGATTGGCCGACATTATCAGGTACACACAGCAGCAAGTCAGGTTACTACAGTCTATCAAATTATCGCAATTATTTTAACTCTACCGTCACTACATTAAGTTTTAAAATCGAGTGAAGAAATGTGATGTGATGTGTGGTATCATAAGTGATTTTATATAGTTATTTCATATTTCTTTAAATTTTAAATCTTTTCTATATTCAATGCAAAGCATTTTTTAAAATATCAATGAATTAGAATAAAATTCTGAAATATGAAACAGACAAAATAATAGCATGTTATTTTGTCGACCCAAAAAGAAAAAACATACTTGTCCTTTCTAAGCCCCATAAAAATCTGGAATAAAAAGAAATTATTCCTTTCTTTTAAAAAAATTCAGCGCCACCTATTGTGTAAGTACTTTAGACAGCTAACTCAAAGCACTTGATGGTTATAAAACGTCATTGTTATTAGTACAAAGTTTATCTGCTGGCGCTGAACCGATAGGCATTTGTTATTCTTCTGAGGAACGTGCAATGAGCTAACCCACACTAGCGTAGACACCTGTAATTATGTAAGGGGGCGTGTCGATTTCTAAAAATCATTCAGTGTCCTCAGCCTCTTAAGTCTGTACTTTCCACTCCTTTCGTTTTCCAACTATATAAATACTGCGAAGTACTGACTGTGCGTCAACCTCATTTTACAATAATCTTCTGGCAACTCACCACACATATTTATCACGATATTTACACATTTCGTTTATTCAATCACGGAGTAAAAGGAAAAATAAAATCCCAATGATACTATAGCTCGATGGCGCAGTGGCTAGTGCGGTCGGTTTGCGATACGGTTGTTAAGCAACTTTCGCAATGGCCGGCCATAGGAAGGGTGACCAAAAATTTATTATCTCAAACTTCTCCGTGTTTCGGAAGGCACGTTAAGCCGTTGGTCCCGGCTGCATCTGCAGACGTAGTGGAGACATTAATAGACTGGTGATAATGGGATGATGAACAACTGTGATAAATATTTTTTTGGGCAAAAGCTGTTTCTCGTACAGAATACAAACAGCTTTTGCCCAAAAAAAAAATTATTGCTTTGACGACTCTTGTATGACAAGTTGAACATTGCAAATCTTAGACATCAATAATTTTACTTACAACCAAGTAAGTTTACATTTTACTTGTGCTTAAAGCTCAGTTATTCCTTTTTCAAGCACCAGCTGCATATTTGTATCGTGACTTTAAGCTAACTAAGCCTTGTCACCTTATTAATGTAAAAAATGTATTCATAAACTTTCTTACATTACATACTCGTAATATTATTAAAAATTATTTATTATTACCGGTTAAAATTCAACTATAAAATTAACTATATCCACCACCACCACCACCACCAGCCCTTTTACGTCCCCACTGCAGGGGCTCAGGCCTTCCTTATGGATGGTTAAGGAGGATGGGCCTTGATCCTCCACGCTGGCCCAATGCGGATTGGAGGATATTAACGACTGCAAATGCAGGCGGGACCAACGGCTTAACGTGCCTTCCGAAGCACGGAGTAGCTCGAGATAATAATTTTTGGTCACCCATCCCGTGACCGACCCTTGCGAAAGTTGCTTAACGACTACGATCGCAGGTCGCGGCGCTTATCCACTACGCCACCGATTAACTATATAAAATATATTAATCCGATCAGACGTTTTGAATTTTATGTTGAGAACGCAAATGGCCCTTCAGACTGCATTTCTGCACAAAGGCTTGATCACAGTATTCACATTTAAACCTTCTATCGTCAGCGTGTATCCGCAAATGTTCCCTCAATGTGCTTTTTCTACCGTACGCCTTCGAGCAGACATCGCATTGATATTGCCTAAGGCCTTATGTTTTAACATGTGAGTTTTAAGGTTCTCGATGAGAAGAATCTCTTTTCACACGTGCATTCATGGGGCCTCTCCATCAGGTGATCTCTTCTCGTGTGCCTGGTCATATACAGCGACTTATGTGCGTGATAAGGTGTACACACAGCCATACACAAATATAGTAATTTCAACAAATAAAAACCGGCCAAGTGTGAGTCGGACTCGAGCACCGAGGGTTCCGTACAAACCTGTAGGTATATAACTTAAAGAATATATATCCATGTTAAAGGTATTATAGATCTGAGTATTTGATATGAATTTCAATTTAATACCTCTACGGGTTCATGAGGAAAGGGATAACTTAAGAATTATAAAAAATACTTTTATTATATGATGTAACTAAAAATTTGCACGTTTTCACAATTTTTCCCTTATAAGATGTTGCTTCGTACCAAATTACAAGATTTAGAGTCCACGGGAAGTACCTTGTAGGTTTTGAGTTTCAAAAATATGTAGCATAAATCTTTGGATTGCGTTAGCTTAGCTTAGAAGTTTGTTTTTTTTTTTACAGCTACAGTCCCCTAGAGCTATGAAGAAATCAAACTTCTTGACCTGAACTGAGTGTTGGAAATAAATTTCAGCTTGATACCTCCACGTGTTCCTGAGAAAAAGGGGACAGACAGACGGACAACAAAGTGATTCTATGAGGGCTCCGTTTTTATCTTTCGATGTAAGGAACCCAAAAAAGTATAACCGTGACGTGCTGTTCTTAAAAGTAACTTAATTTGGTAAATACATGGTTGTTGAATTAATTACTCTAGAGCTACTAGAAAATTCAAACTATGATTTTTCGAATTCGCTGCCCTCGAACAAGTTTAATTATGAGATAATAAAAAAAAAAAACTTCGTGAAGAACAAGACATTTTCAATAACAACTGTACCCGTGCAAATAAAGTATCAAGAACGCGTGTTCCACGGACTGTGACTGAAGCGTCACTGCCACACGAATGAAAGCTGTGAACGCCAACAGCGCCAAGCGCACAAGGGACTTGAATTATCAATAAGCAAATTACTTATATGTTGGACTTTTGGATGTCCTTCTTATTGCAAACATAGATGTTGATTTGATAATGACATGGTTTTTGTAAAATGTCGTCAGAGTTAGTTTTTTCGTCCTAATTGGCCAAAAGGCTGCTGGCTTAGCATGACTGTTCTACTCGACACTAAACTCGCGATATAATGATACTATCCTGATAAGATACCGCGGCGTATATGAGACGGAAAAGCATTTTTAGGTGCTTCATCTTCGTAATATACTGCATTTATGCTACAGGCGCTGAAGAGGTGGTAGTTAAAATATTGTTAGATGATTTAACTGCGCTTTTAAGGAGTATATTTGAGTGAACAATATTTTCACTTGTCTTGGTCAGTGCAATATCAAACAAAACCTATATATTACGTGCAATATCTCCATCTAGCCTGTACATGTTTTATTTATCTGGTTTTTTAACGGTTGAACTCATAACCTTTTTACACGACTGCCCAAAAAGTTTAATTCGTGTTCAATGTCAATTTTGCTGGAAAATGTGAAGTCCGATGTGGGACACTTAAGCTTAATAAGCTATCTTACGTGAAATTTGATCATATGGTCCGTTTCTTTGTGAAGTTCAAGCAACATTGCCGACACACTAAGGACGAGTGGACAAAGCGCTTTTCTTAGTAGTTCCATCTATTTTGAAACAATATGAAAAACTAATAATAATTTGCTCATTTTTTTATTTTCTAAGATCTTTCAGTTCGACCCCCGTATCTTAAAATGAAAATAAATACTTAGTGTAATACACTATATTTACAATAGCATTTCCCCGATTACAAGTTCAGAATTTTGTGTTTAGAACGCAAATGGCCCTTCAGACTGCATTTCTGCACAAAAGCTTGATCACAGTATTCACATTTAAACCTTCTATCGTCAGCGTGTATCCGCAAATGTTCCCTCAATGTGCCTTTTGTACCGTACGCCTTCGAGCAGACATCGCACTGATATTGCCTAAGGCCCGTATGTTTTAACATGTGAGTTTTTAAGGTTTTCGACGAGAAGAATCTCTTTTCACACAATTTGCATTCATGGGGCCTCTCCATCAAGTGATCTCTTCTCGTGTGCCTGGTCAAACCGACTCTGCTGGAAAATGTAAGGTCACAAGCCAGACACTTCAGCTGAATAGGCTCTCTCCCGTGAACCTCAACCAAATGATCTAGTCTCTTCTTGTAAGATGCAAATTTCTCGAAACACTCTGGACACTTGTTCCTTGTGTCCGTGTCGCCTCTGTGAATGAACCTCTCGTGGTGATCCCTCTTGGCAGGAGTTTCGAAGATTTTGTTACAAAAATTGCATTCGAAATCACCTTGCTTATGCCTTTTAACGTGACTATGTAGAGTACGTTGATTTATGAAGGGCATATCACAAATACTGCACATGTAATTGTTGTAATGCATCCGCATGTGTTCTTGAGCCAGTTTAAAACTGACGTAGAATTTATCACACACGGAACATGTCACGCCTTCTTTGCTGAATTTGAATGTGAGAATGTGATTACCGATTCCGTCGTACCATGATTTTTCGTGTTGACTCTTCAAATGGTTTATGGCGTGTTCCAGATTATTTAACCGGGCCCCGCATATTGTGCACTCAAAATCTGTGATATCGAGTTTGACCACGAGATCCCTCAAATAGGTTCCACGCATAAAAATATTCTTATCGGAATCTTCGTGTTCGTGTTGGGAATGCTGCTTAAGTTCAGGCGGTGTACCACACTGTTCGTTACAATAGCCACAGCAATAGCTTATTCCGTCATTGATTCTTATCGGAGTAGCGTTAGTGCAAAGTAGTATTTGTCTTGCGTTATGCAAATGTTTATCTAATAAATATTTTTTATCCAACATAATATTTTGAACAAGCTTTTTCTTTTTCTCTGATTTTATCGGTAGTCCTACGTTTGGACGTTGAAGCTTTTTACTGCTCTTGATGGTAGCAGTCCAATTCGCAGCTGGATTGTTCTTAACCTTTTGGGGTTTCTCTGTGAGCAGATCTCTCAGTATGCTTAAACAAGTACTAGAAGTGTCCCGGCGGCGACCTACAAAGAAAAACTTGAAGTTAAATTTTTCAATGCCGCCGTTAATTTTAACCGTCTTTATTTAGTAAATAGGAACAATAATCAACTGTTAGGTACTCTCAAATAAAACAAAAAAGCATTTGTTTTGCCATAAATAGTATATTGTACATTATAACTATGAAATACTTTTTGAAGAATTATATAGCATTAAAATTATTAACATTTCAGAATGTTTTTAGAATACACATGCTACGTAGTAGCACATAAGCATACTAGTTTCGAGGAGAGCTACTTAGTAGCAGACAATTACCACGTGTATATTAAGTTTGTGATTATTGAGTAAAATTGTAAGTATTTATGTCCAATTTGTTTGTAAATAGAGATTTACCAACGGCGTCTGCCTGAACAATTGACTACTTGATAGTTATAACAATAAATCATGAAATATGTTGGAAAAAGAAATGGTAACTTATATGTAAACAAATAATTTTGTACTATTTTTTTTCTAAAAAAATCGTAAGTTTAAGTAAGGTATATTTAATTTTTTGTACAATTAACTTGCGACAGAATCTTGTGAATCATGTGACGTCACATTTCAATAAACCAAATGTCAACGCCTTTGTTAAGATTGCAACCAGTAATCTTTGTCGAATGCTCGTTCATCAGTGAATTGTTACATTTTTTTGACAAAACCCATAATTATATCCATAATAAATAAATAAATCCATAATTTCTGGATTGTAATTAGGAATCAAAAATTATTTATCTGCATAGATAATCGATAAAATTTAATAAATACTTAAAATTAACTGATAATTTACTCAGTTTACACTGTTATCAAACGCTTAATGGTAGAATTAACATATAATCCAGAAAATGGCCTCTACTGAATCAATTAAAAATAACTCTAAAAACAGGTTTTTAAGTTCATTTTTAAATAATTTAGATAGTCAACGAGTGGTTAAAAATATACAAAACTTACCTATTAGTTTAAAAAAAAACTACTAATTAGTTTAAAAAAAATCACAGTCTCTTGTCGTCGTTAAAAAAATACACTTATTGAAACGCTTCATAGATTAAATGGTTCATTTTCATCTACAGGTTTTGAGTGCGTCAAAATAATATTCTTAATGAAAAGTGCTTAAAAATCCACTTTGTCCCTGGCACTCAGAGGTGGGACTCGAATCCATGACATTTCGAAATCCGGGCGACTGCTCTTAAGATTGATTTTTAAGTATTTTGCATTAAGAATATAATAATAATAATAATATTGTTCAATACAGCCTTTTTAGATATATATCTATAGTAACACGATCGCACGGATGCTAACAGACACGGACCTGTTCCAGCCCCATTATTGTACTCCTGATAACTTCTAAGGACTTAGACTGCACTTAGAAACAAATTGATCCCGTAGCTGTCAAGAAGCGTTCATTGCACGCATGGTTAAATATTTTTTTGAGAGTTTCTCTCTCTCTCTCAATGAGAAGTTCTCTTTCATGGTCACTAATGCTCAAGGGTGAAAACGAAATAACAGTCTATCGATAGAAGATCAAGCATCAAAATGGAATTCATTGGAGATCGCCGATAGTGACATTCCAAAATTTTTCTTTTCTTTTTAATTATTAATAGCGAACCATTGATTTGGCACATTGGAGTTGCTCACTTTTTTTCGATGACTACGATTTCAAGTTGAGTCTGCGAATAGGGCTGCTGGTTTCTCTCCACGGTTCATACGTGTACGTTATCTGTAGCTACATCGCTCACTGAATAGTACAGTGGCACAACTCAACAACCATATTTCGAGAAACGCTCTCCGAAGTTATGAAAATTTAATATATTTATAATTATGAAAATCATTTTTTTTAGCATAACAGTTAAATCGTTTGTATTATGTTAAGTTTTTTTATTTTTTCTTTAAATTATCTATGGGATGCCACCACGACGTTCTGGCGTTTTCTCGAAATAATGGTATTTGAGTTGTGCCACTATACCTACTATTCAGTGAGCGACATGTCGGGCAGTCTAAATATGGCAAACAGTATTAAATATAATCAGATGTTATATTGCAGAAATTTATTGGCTATAACTTGTGAAACAACGATGCCTAGCCAATATTAGGCCTTACAGTACTAATAAAAGCAGATGGTTATAATTGCGAGACTAATCACCATTTATAGATATGAATTTGTGCACAGCAGGTTTTGCTGATATTGACTGGATGTGGGATTTGCTACACTTAATAGTTTCACAGCTATAACAAACTAAGTCTGGAGCACTCAATGACTGCAGATGTAAACAAACCTTTGCGGTGTTATTGATAAACAAGGTTTAGCGCTGGAGTGAATTTACGCTTAAACTGCACTTAGTATTAGTCAAAATTTATATCATTAAACAATTTCAATTTATTAATTTCAAAGAACTTTGATACATAATAATTCATATTAATATCTATTTAATATTTCAGAACAGACTTAGCAATGGTTAACCTAGTAAGAAGTTCTACAGGAATAGCATTTACACCTAGCAGTTAGTAAGGTTTGCTTATTCTCCGTATGGTAGATTTTAAGGTTTAGGCTTTACCTATTCGATACAATCGTGTCCCATCACTCGTGATACCTTCCTACCTCCATGCCTTTTTATTATCTGAAGTCCTTGGGGGTAATCCGAGAATATCGTAAACTCACTTCCGCAATCGCAGCCGGGTCGAGCAGACGTAGCTCCCAATATATAAAAGCTGAGAAGTCAAGTATCACGGCGATCGACGCGTTTGTCTCGCGAACAAGTGATATAGAGTGTGGTGCACCACTAGGAAATAAGACGCGCGTCCAGAACATCCATCACGCTGGGACGTAGTGAACCAGGTACGCCCCCATCCTTTCCTTGTGATTCACCACCGTATATGAGTTTGGACTAATACTAAAATTGCAATTTCAGCCTAAATTTTCTCTGACGCTAAAACTTGTTTATTAATAGCACTGCTAAAGCTCGTTCCAATACTCTACTGTATACCTACAAATACCGATTATTTAATGTCTATAAAGGAACTAAACTCTTAAAACCATATTCTTATTTAAATAGCAATACATCTAATAGCACTCGGTCGTGCGAGCAATTTTAAAGCGAGCAAACCTTAATTTCTACTAATTTACAAAAATTACAAATCCTTTACTGATTCCAACTCAGAGATTACAGATTTCCTCATACTAAATAAGAGATTATTAAGATCGCCAACCGTAACTACCAGTTTTTTTCACCAATCAAGCGAATTGCAAGTCCATTTGACTTTTCGTGATCCCATGGTTTTTCTTCATGTGTTTCCGTCTACTGTTCTGTGTCGCATAACCTTTACCGCATACGTCGCATTTATACTTTCTCTCGTTCGTATGCGCGGCCATATAGTGACCCAGCATATGCCGCTTTATAAAGAACCCCATGCTACACACTGAGCATTCGTATGGTCTCTCCTTCAAGTGAACACCGCGCATATGCAACATTAGATTAGACTTGAGGTTGAACTTCTTCCCACAGATATCACAATTTATTTTCTCGGCGTTGTGCACCTGTATCATGTGCCTAGTTTTCTGATAGTAATTCTTGAACCTTGCTTTGCATATTTGGCAAACGCTGTGGCCGGCGATGCCTTTATGCTCTGTATTAACATGCGCCTTCTTCTTAGATTCTGCTGCGAACACTTGTCCGCAATAATTGCAGGGGTAACTAGACTTTTTCTTAACATGGGTGGTCTCGTGACGACTCAGCCTAAAGCTATTCACGAAACCCGCACCGCATGTTGGGCATATGAAGTTATTATAATGTAAGTTCATGTGCTGCGTCAGCAGTTTCATATTGTGGAATGATTCGTTGCATAGGCAACACTTGATTTGTGACTCTTTAGTCAATTTGTACGGCTGGAAGTAATCAGTTATGCCTAGATAATACTTCTTTTTGTGGATTTCTACCAAGTGTTCGGCGAGTTGATTGATCGAATCTAAAGGATGTTCACATATAGTGCATTTGAGGTCTACTACATCAAGGAAGGCGACGAAGCTCGCCATGCCAGAGCCGGCTTTGTACGAGGGCTTCTCCCTGGCATGGTCGTTGTGCGTGTGACTCCTTAAAACCTGAGGATCCGGGTAAGATTTAAAGCAGTACGCGCAAACGTAGCCAGCGTCGTTACGATCCTTGAACGGCGTGGCGTTGGAATTTTTCAGGAGGGTGGTCAAGTTATGCCACTGCTTCTGAAATTCTGGTACATCTTTCACGTTATCACAACCGACCTTATCTATTCCCGGTCCGTCGCCTTCCTCTTTTATATTCCGTCTCAGTTTTTTCGCGCCGCGTTTACCTATAAAAGAGAAAATAGTCTTTCACACGGCCGTTCTCCTCTTACAACTACACATCAAACATTCGATCGCTCGTTGTGGTGACGTCACGACGTAAATCAAACGAGATAAGATTTAATATAATACTTTTATTTGTAAAAACACATTTCCATCTGATAATAATGCGGCGTTTCTAAAACTATAACACGATTCGAAGGGTGAGCTATTGCAATCAGAATATTTAAATATATATAAAAAATTTAAAAGATTGCACGGCAAATAATTTTCTGAATTGACTTGCGAATATGTGTTACGTGTACATAAGGCATTCTTTCTACCAATACAGTTTCTTAATAATTCTATTCAAACAATAAATATAAGTTCTACAATACATTTAGTAACTTGATTCAAATAACAAATCATGTTTTATGAGTTGAGTACGTAATAATATACTATAAAACAACAATTTTCTCTTAACCCAGAAGTACATAGAGGCAAATTGGCATTTTGAAATTTTCTACCGGAGTACGAGAGAGAAGATAGCGGTATCCAACCTACTTGATTATAATGTTACATATTATAGATATTTGATCAGTTTAAATAATTTCGATATTTGATTTGATTTAATTCTATTATTTGCTTTTCGAATCTCTCATTAACTATGCATGTGCTATCTTCCCTCTCCTTTTAACCGCATCATATTATCACTTGCCTGGCAGCCATGTTTTCCCTACTCTGGTATAATAGCTCTATGGAACTAGGACCCGCAACTAATCAAACGTCAAAGGGGGCAGCTAACTGACAAATAGGGATGCACGTAATGCAATCGATAAATAATGACTTCTATAGTCGATTAAAAATACATAAATAAGTCAGTTCCAATTCAAAGAAATAGGTATGTTAAAAACAAGCGACAAAAAAAGGTAAAAAAAAGAATTAATAAATTTTTCAATGATAATAATTAAAGAAATGAATATAGACCATACGCCAAAAAAATTGCACGCGATAAAAACTTTTTGAGCATGGATATGGGAGGGAATGTAAGGAGTTAAAGACAAGATGGAGAAACTGTACGAAAATTTGGCATCTGATGCAAAACAATAGTAAATTAGCAAGGGCACTAACCTTATTGCTGTATGGTCAGTTTCTACACGAGTTTCCTTTGCCAGGCCAACATAAAAAAACTTATTAACGTGAAATGAGGCGTAAACCATGATGACTTGAACGTATTTATTCGTAAAAATAAATCATATGATTATAGTAACACCCAACAGATAAGCAAGCAACATATAATTATGAACTTTTATTGTTATGATTTTGATCAAATTTCTTATATAAAATACGGTCAATTTCATTTATTAAAACTAATAACTATATCGGTGATTATAAAATATATGCAATATCTTATTTATTATCTTATATTACAAACTGATAAGATCTTTCATATTTTCAGCTTGTTTCTTTCTTTTATTCTCATTTGCGATCTGATTCAGTGTCATCTCTCTGTTATCTATTAAATGTTTCACGTCCTCAAACTCTTTAAATATATCCAAATTGTCTTGGTGTAGTTTCATATGGTTCTTTAAGCTGCACTTCTGCGTAAAAGTCTTCAGACACACATCACACTGATATCTCTTATCGTCGTCGTGCAATTTCATGTGCTCTTTCAGTGTTCTCGTCCTAGAGAATGTCCTCCCACAAATGTTGCAAGCGCAAACTTCCCCACCCGAATGTCTGGACAAATGGTCTACCAAGCCCCGTTTAGAAAAGAATTTGGCGTTACACTGGTCACATAGAAAACTCCTCTGTTGCAAATGGTGATGTTTTATATGTCTGTTCAGCTCGAATTTCTTCTTGTAAATCTTATTGCACGCATTGCAGGGGTAAACTATGGGGGTTTCGTTGTGCTCTTTGACGAGATGTTCGCTACGGTCGTAGTAACTCACAAATATTTGGGGGCAGTGCGGGCATTTGTTCCTCAACCATCCACCGGTGTGGACGCCCTTCTCGTGATTCCGCTTCTTGGTGAGCGACGTGTAAGATTTGTCGCAGTAATCGCAAGGGAATATGCCTTGCGCGTGCGTTTTGCCGTGCTTCCTCAGTGCCGCTATAGTGATGTAACCGGCGCCGCATTTCTTGCAGCAATAGTTGCGGTAATGACTGCTCATGTGGTGGTAGAGATTTTTGAAGGAAATATGGACGACGGAGCATATCACACATGTGAAATTCTGGCCGTTTTCCAGACGGAACGGTAGGATGATGTCTTTTATGTTCCTGTGTATAAACTTATTATGCGACGAGACTAAATGGTCTTTGAGTTCGTTGAGATCCTTCATTTCCGAATTGCATAGGGTGCATCTAAGGTTTGTTATATCCAATTTGATAGGTGTATAGCTAAGTTTGTAATCAATCATGGTGTTTAGTCTGTCTTTTTCCGATTGTTGTGCTGTGTGCGCTCGTAGATCATCGATGTTGAGGAAGTACTTGGCGCAGTAGAGGCAGGAGAAGCCGCGTATAGTTTTATCCCTGAAGGGACTAGCGTTGGAGTATTGTAGTATAGCGGTTAAGTTTACCCTGTGCTCTACGCGCTCTGGTGTGGCGCTTTCATCGCCTTTCTTTTTCTTTTTCCTGCGCTTGGGCGGTTCGCCGTCCGTTCCTATAACAAGAAACGAGCACATCTCATTATCTTGGTCTTCTTAGCTTACTTTACGATCTTCGTGGTTGCATATTCTTCTTATGACCTCCATTAATTTCAGGTTAATATGTGAGAATATATAAATGCATTCATGAAATTCGTTTGTGTAAATCACACAACTGTCTTGAACATAAAGACTCGAAAGAAGGTAGACCGATATATCTGCCATTATGACCCACCCGCAAAAACTTCAGTTACTCCGTGGTCATGGCGCTTGCAACAGCGAAGAAATATCGGGAACTCGAGAAATATAACGTACATGGTAACAATCCCGTATCAAAAGATTGTTCTAATGTCTTGAAAGTTCTCAGAGCAGTTTTTACGATATTTTACAGTATGGATATCGTAGGCGTCGTTCAGAAAGTTCAAAGCCAAGCGCAGATATAATAGCATGGAAATATGTTTCTAAATTTCATCTTTAAATATCAAAGTTATGTTTAGGCATGTGGATAATTAGTCGTGTGGTATACAATACTTAATACGAAGTGTGATTTTTCCTATGATATAGCTTAAAATTGGTATCAAATATGTCAACAGTAAAAAAAAAAAATGTTCATACGATTGATGGTTTGGCTATTATAACCTATTGAATCCGATAAAAAATGGATTACGTTTTAAAAAGCTTGGTAAGACGTAACTTTAACTTTTTTATAAACCTCAACAAATTGTAAGTAAACGAATAGCGTATATTTCATTCCATTCTCAGTCTCCCTACCATTTTTATAAATACTTATTAAACGTTGTTCAATTTATGAAATACTCCCAAAATAAAGTAGAATTAATGAGGTACTTCTGCATAGATAAGAATATTTTTTTACAAGTTTTCTGCGTCTTGTATTTGTACTACCGTTAAAGACGTTTTGTTATCACAGTAATTATTAGAATAATCATTATTTGATTTGGTTCTCCCTACCTTAATAATCGTCATTTTGTAGAAATAAAATCTGCTAATCTTACTTTATTTAATTGTTATATTGTTATTCATGTACGGTATTGGAAAGTATGGAGTTTGATTTCGCCAATATTTTTTTAATTTATCCTATGGATTAACATGAGAACATCTTTTGTTAAAAGGTAGTGTAGAATTGAGTAGTTTTATCTAAATTCATAATATTTAAAAGAGAAACAGTTTATAAAAAAATAAGACAATGGCATGCATTCAATGTACGAACTACAATTTTGAAAATTTATGCATACACATGAATTGCGATTGTTCAACACATTCAAATACGTATATGAATATAGTTATATTTACGTACAGTTTACATTCATAAACTGATAAAGAAAAATGGACCCAATGTGCATCCTAGAGAGACCAGATAATTTAACTTAAGTTAAATTGAATTATGACCTAGATTTCGCTTTCAGTCTATTAATGTCACCGCTGCTGGGGCACAGACCTTTTCTAGGGATAGCATCAGATAACGAAAACAGGCCATGCCAACTAGTGCAGGTGCAGCCGGGACCAGTGGTTTATCGTGCCTTCCTAAACACGAAGCTCGAGCGAGATGATACATTCTTGGTCATTCATCGCATGACAAGCACGAAAGTAGATTAACCTCCTCATTTGAATCCGAATGTGCTAACCATTGCGTTATCGAGCTTACTATTTTATTACTTCTATACCTATATTAGAGAATCTAACGCCTTGCAAAAATCATATTCAAAAATAAAAGCGCAATGCATCTCTTCTCATCTATTCATATGCATAAATTTTCAAATAATATTTTAATTTAATTTAAAAAAAAACATTGGTTACAGAATACCTTTACATAATACTTTAGAGCTCTTTTTGCCATCGATTTTAGTCATTATTTAAACATCCTTCTAAGACAGAAATTCAAATAAGTAGATCCTTGATTATCCGAATCGTAATGCAAAATGGATTTGTTATTTCAACATTACATTTCAACATACTCAGCTAGCTTTAGAAATTATAAGAAGCGGAACTCATATGGATAATTTTTCATACTAAGAAATAGGTCCTTTGGAAAATCGTAGATTTGTCAGCGAGTCTTTGAAGTATTTAACAAGACCACCAGATGTTCCCAAATTCTAACTAAATTTACATCACGTGTTCGTTGTTAATACCCTAAAGTTTGTAAGACTTTCACCCTATTGCACAGACATCCAGTAAGGCATAATGAAGACTTTACGCTCTAATTAATGATTCAAATTGGAAAATTTGTGACGTTAATGTCACTTTTAACTAATTAGAACCTCCATCGGCTTCGCCTGCGTGTTTCTACATTATACTTATAGACCTTCCTCCTGAATAACTGTATATTGATAAAAAAATTAAAAGATCTTAGTATACAAACAGCAGGAAGCGGCTTTGTTTTATATTGTATTTCAACGTTAATATGGTATTCATAATTAAAATTCTACACAATTTTTAAATAAAATCGTTATATTTTTGTTTGATCATGCACAGAAATATCAACATTTGTACTATCTGAACTATCAGTTCTAATTAGTTTGGATGATCTAGGTTCTACTGTAAGTCGGTATTATTAAGACAATTAAAGATATTCTGTAACCAATGAAAAGTGGCATAGGCAGTGTGCAAACAAGTCAAAATTATGTATTTTGTTTTGCAATCAATAATAGTCTTAATTTATAAATATCTTTGTTTTCTATATACATTCTATTTGTATTATCTTTAACAATGTAATCAGATAGACGCGCTCAGAGCTATTTTTTTTATTTTATTTAAATTCAAAATTTTACATATTTTATTATTGTTTCTATACGTGTAAAGACCACAAACGTGACATTGGCGGAATTGTGTAAATGCAAATAGGCCATGAATTTAAAAAAAAAAGAAGAAGACCTCAGGCGGTAAGGTTTATTATAAAATTAATATTACAATAAGTTTAAGTAATTAAAAGGGTAATTCAATCAATAGAAATTTTTGTCTCGACAGTAAATAGAAAATGTTAATTACACTCGATCTTCTTATCAGTCAATAAACGTCTTGAATGGGTGATAGGTAAAAAATGTTGGACAATGTAAAATAACTTAAGTTTATTTGAATAAAGAATATTTTCACTTTGACTTCAATAAAAAGTCGACAATGAGAATTATTTATTGTTTATTTAAAATGATTTGACTTTGTTTGCAATGTCACTCGTATTTACTAGTCGTACTGTTCGAGTTGGCTGCTCCCACCCTCCCCATTTCCCCCCACCGCACATCCTGACAGACACTGAGTATCGCTAGCAATGACAACATAGAGAATCTTTCTGTGTCGGTCGTTATTATTACTTTTTTTATCATTTTACGCAAATTTCAGCGTAGATGGTAGCACTTGTTTTTATAGTAAACTTTTTCAATCATTTTCTATTTTAAAAGGAAACTATTATCTTTATTATTGGATAGTCATATTAATGAATTCATCATCATCGGCTCTTTTAGGCTGCAGGCGTCCCCAGGCCTTACTGGTGGATGCTTATGGAGGATGTGCCATGACTCTCCACGCTGGCTCAATTAACGTCTATGAATGCAACCGAGATCAACCGCCTAACGTGCCCCCGTAGCACGGAGTAACCCGGGATAACAATTCTTTGGTCACCCATCTCGTGACCGACACTTGCAAAAGTTGCTTAGCGAGAAAGATCGCGGGACCAGGCGCTTATCCATAACACCACCGAGCTTCTCTTAATCCATTTTTTTTATATTATAAGTTCAGTACAATAAAAAACTGTTTACGACATGTGCTAACGCTACAATCTAACTACAAAAAATAATACGTCCCATTCTTGTTCTTGTTGAGTTGTTATCGATATAATCTATACGTACCTAAAAAATATTTACTCCCAATTATTTTTTGACTGATGTAATGTTTTTTTCCCCTCAATTAAAATCATTTTTTTTTTGTTGACTCAGTCATTGATGACCATTTCAAAACGAACTAGTCTAGTACTAGTAGTTAATTTTTCAGACTATTTATTATTATTATTTTTTTTTTATTTCAGCATATCTAGTATCTAACGGAAAAATTTTGCTAATTTGCTGTAACAACTTGCACTCAAAGTGGTCTGTTAAGACTCCAGACTTCAATAAATAATAGCTCAGCATATGGTTTGCCAAAAATGGAAAATTTTCTTCCTTTCTCATTCATGAAAAAAATAAATTCATAATCATTCCGGTGTCATAACTGGTTTGCACACTTGCCCATCCGTATAATGGTAAATAACTTACTTTTTGATGTCTCCGCATCCTCGACTTTTGTTTTTTTGGCGCGCGTTGTTGCTCCTTTGGTACGCTTCTTGCCTTTAGTTTCTTCTGTTTCAGTTTTAATGGGTGTGTCGAACTCTATAAAAAAGAAAAGTGATCAATACAAGTATGCCACATTTTTATTAAAATAACTCGGGTACTGAGAAATATTTACTTAAAAAACCTCTGATTAATTTTTAAACTAACACTCGCTCGACCACACAGTCGTAATACAAGAGTCTTAAATTGATTTATTAATATATAAGATGTAATATTATTATATGCCACTACTTTATGAGGTAATTGGGTTAAATATACTGAATAATTTTTACTATGTGACCCGAATTGGCGGAAAAATAATCAGCTATTTCATACTATATGAATTCAGTGTTGCTCCCATAGAAAAAATGGTTAATTATATTGAACTAATCCACCCCACAAAGTTCTAGGATATAATAATGTTACATTTTATATAAGTTACTCGATCTGATTACTTCTTATCTTCGGAGATATTGATCTGATTATGAAAATTCATCTGATTGCGAACGCGGGTGACATAGGCTATAAGGTCTTGTACTGGACAGCGGCGTGGGCGTCCAGTTTACGGCTTAATTTACGTGGCCAAAGTCGCGAGAAAACAAATAATGGTAAAAAAATAATTAATTATTCACCTGTACCGGACATGTCATCCGAGAGATTATTGTCAGACTGGTTGCCACCTTCATCATCTATAGGACCGACTTCCAACTTCACAATGGTAGCTGCAAATAAATATTAATTAATGCATTATACACTTATACTAAGATTTTACCTCGTCCTACGATTGTCGGTATTAAGCAATTTTTGAAAGGATCAAAAAATTTATATCTCGAGTTTCAGCCAGTTGCACAAACGTCCATTAAAATTGTTCATTCATTTAAAGCGACATTACACATACAATTTTGGCATTAATTAGAGCTTAAAGGAGTCATTAAATCATAATGAACATATGAGCAACTGACCGCTTAGCTTATTAATACTCTGTTCTGCAGAAGGCACGTTAAGCCGTTGGTCCTGGCTGCATTTGTAACTCGATCTTAGGACTGAGGAGCATATGGTTTATCTTCGAGGATCCAAAGTTTACTATAAATACTTCTACAGAACACAACATGTATTACATGATCCAATGGAGGCACACATTACAATCTATAATAATACTCAGATCTTTAGATTCTGACAATCTCTAAATATAAGAAAAATCTGTATCAGCATTAACTAGGCCTTGAATTAAAGCACTGGATCTTAGAGACAGATCAAACCACTAAATTACAAGACCCAGAAGGGAATGCACCTATGTACTTACAAATAGTACTTGTGTTATATTTAATCCAATTATGCATTCACAAAGCTATACTAAAAATATTCTTAGTGAAAAATTAAAAAAAAAATCTACTTTGTCGATACTCTGAGATGGGATTCGAACCCATGACCTTTCGCAATCCGGGCGACTGCTCTAACCACTGAGCTACCCAGGACCTAACAGAATTTTTCAAGCACTTATTACTTTTTCGCTACTACAGAGCGTATTTTCATCAGTGTCTGTCTCATCGTCTGACGATTCACCCAAACAGACGAATATTTCGGAAAAATAAACGCATTTCCTTGCCTTAAATTAAATCAAAATTTAAACTTATACCCGCGAAAACGCTTCCCGACATATTCAGGACGTCATTTGGATGTGTATACAAAACAGATGCACGAGTACTAAATTAAAACATGTCAATAAAACAAAAACAGTGTCATCCAACGATAGATTACGAAATAAAAAGATTAAGTTAAAAACAGCGCCATCTAGGAATTTGATGTATAATGAAAAGGCGTTATTTAAGACTTATCTGACAGCTGTCGCCAGAGTGACGTTACAGAATGGCGGGTCGTGTTTCAAGTCACGTGACACACATATAAAAAAGATAATAAGATAATCATAAGACCTTATGACTAAAATCAAAATTTCTATGTTTATTCCAGTGTAAATTTTAGTTTTTGTGACTTTTTTTCATTACCGAAACTACCCTATTGTTAAGTAATGTCTATGGTTGTTAGGTATTATATTTATGATCTCTAGATGTCGATAACAAACTACGTGCCCTATAAATGTGATAATCATACATTATTTTACATCACATATGTAAGTACTTTTATCAGATACATATATACTCCAATGTTTATTTAAAAAAATAACATTTGCCATAGAACTTTGTGTATTTTTTACTTTTTGGGATTTTTATACCTATTAATATGTCAGGTCACCTAAATAATATTAAAATTTGTATCTAAAAAAAAATCCAGCATACGTTTAAACATGTTATCCTCAAGCCTCCTCTTGAACTGTTCCTCCGTGTGCTGCACTTGCTTCTTGAAGTTGGCAGCATTTCGGAGCTGCGTGATGCACACTTCACATATGCCACCTTCTTGACCTTCGTCAGCACTGATCAGCTACAGTGGAATTATAATATTTTAGTACCTTTCAGACTTATACAGTGAAAAGATTTGATAAGTGGCGAACTAACATCATAGGAGGCCCGGAATGGCTTAGTCTGCCACTGGATTTGATTGTCTGTTTGAATTTTAATGAAAAAAATACTATTAATGGGATGAATATCATTAGCTCCTCATTAGAAGGAAAAAATATAGACTATGTCAACCAATACATATACTTGGGGAAGCAAATGTCATTTTCAAAGTCGAACAATGTGGAAGAGGTAGAGAGAAGAATAGGTATAACATGGAGAAGATTCTGGTCACTGAAAGAAATCCTGAAAGGAAACTATAACATAAACCTAAAAAAGATAGTTCTTGATACATGCATTCTGCCCAGCTTGCTCTATGGCCAAATGTGGACCCTCACAGACAAAATAAAAAGGAAAATAAGAACCACCCAAAGAGCCATGGAAAGAAGCATTCTTAAAATAAAAAAAGTACACAAAATAAGAAGCGAAACCATAAGAGAGCGGACTGGAGTTCGGGATGCACTTACCATGGCCCTTAAACTAAAATGGAAATGGGCTGGACATGTGGCACGCTACAACGATAAAAGATGGACACTAATAGCAACCAGGTGGAGAGGTCCCACAGGGAAAAGAAATGTAGGAAGACCGTTTAAGAGATGGAAGGATGACATAGTGGAAACAGCAGGGAAAGACTGGCTGCTCAAGGCAAAGGACAGAGGAAAATGGGACGAGCTGGAGGAGGCCTTCACCCTAAGAGGGGTCCAACTTAAAGATTGACTTGACTAACACTACTAACAACTAGTCTATAGATATACTACTAACAATCTTACTAACAACATTTGGATTGTAAAGAAAATAAGATATCAAGTTGGAAATAAATGGCTTTATTATTATATCATTAGCTATTTATTTCATGTGAATTCTCATCTGTATGATTAAAATGAAATACACTTATGTTAGGCTCCACTATAGATATGGGGTATAGGCATGTATTTATGGTAACAAAGTCACCAGAAAACAGCTTACAATCTAATAAAATAAATTAATACCTAAATATAAGTTGTTATTAGCTGTCTAATTGGAATCTGGAAAATCCAAAGTCAAGCACCTATTGGTTAAAAATATTACCTTCAGTTGTTACAATTTCTCAAGTAATTATTCATCTCAGATAGATACTAGTGTTCTACTTTGACTATATTGGGAAAAGAACCCAGAACCTTAGAGATCTCACTCTCTCAGTCGCCCAAAGAGATCAGTATCAATAGAAACATTAATAAAATTGAAAAAACAGTTTGACAGGATTTTTTATCTAATTTATGCTAGCTTCTAAGCTGTTGAATTTCCATACAAACTTTCAATTGAATCCATCCATTAGACTCTGTCTGACTCTAATAATTATTCTGACCAATGGTCCAACTTCAGAATCAATCAAACAAGTTCTTTTAAATGGATACATAAAATTTGAATGTTATTACTAACTACAATATGCACTTTGAAAAATTATGTTTATTTTTCCAGGTTTATTTTCTAGGTATAGAAATATAACATAAATATGACAAAAAATACATAATTCTATTTTTCAAAGGGGAATTTTTTACCACAGCTGGGATTTTATTTTGTTGGTGACCTTTATTCTTTTTCTTTTTGTAAAAATAAAAAGATTTGTCATGCGATCTCACTACAATGGTACAGATAGTCTAAACAGTTTATTCAAAGAATAGTTTTAATTTTAACATTTTGATGTAGCTTTGTAATGAGCTCTAATGGGGCTCATTAGAATGGAAACAACTTATTCCACTACTATCAATAATATTTTACAAAAACGATTAAAATAAACAAGGGTCTAATCCATATTATATATGACAACAATGTGTAGCTTGAAAAAGACCAGGTAATGTTTAGAAAATTTTAATAACATGATAGACATCACTCTAAGTAATTGTTTTTGATACTTAAGTATGAGTTGCATGGTTGTAAACCAGCAATAGGAAGAATAAAGGTCACCTTCATTTGCAACCTTTTTTGTCGCCAAACGCAGTTCAGACAGTTCAACTACCAAGGTCACCTCTGTTGCAACACTGGTTAGCCAGTTAGTGGCTGTCCCAAAGCTGAAGTTAATTCAAGCGCGGGAATCAAGACAAATATATTTCGTATTCAAAGGTATTTCTAATAGCTTTGTTTTCTATTAGATTTTACAAAAATTACACGTAATTTCATTTTAAGAGAAACAGAGCCATCGTACTTAATTAGTTACAGTACCCAGAGTTGACAAATCTGGCCCTACGTTTGCCATCGTACGGCCGTCAGTTACAATTAGACAGAAAAATAAAAACAAATGTTTAATATCCATCGACGTTTTACTAAACAGCATCCATAATGAGAACCATGTAGATGCGACTTTGCATACAAAATTAGTTTAAACTAATGCTTTATTTTGTCTTTCCAAAAGTTTATTCACATCTTTACCTACCATAATATCAAGTAAAGCACAAAGAAAACTTTCGCTGACTACTCACAGTAATATCAAAGCACTGCCGTAGCATATCGGCGTAAATTTCTTCTTCGCCCATCCAAGTATATTTCGACGAAAGATCTTTGAACGTTCCTTCTGATGCACAGCACCGGCACATTCCATTATTTAATGTTCCCTCCATCATGGTAAAAGGAACAATTCTACATCGCTAAACTATTACGGCTTCTGAACAAAATCCTATTCACGAAACGACGCTAAACACCTCGTTGTACAACATCCACCGCCATTTTGTAAAAATCGGAACGGAACAGAGTGGTGATACAACTCGAGTCAAGTTTTAAATCGGATCTTTCGAGTTATTTTTTCAAATTCGTACTCAAGTGATAAATACAGCTCCCAAGTCTCTATCCACTCGAGTGTTTATTTATTTATTGATTCACCAACATTTGTGTACACCAATACATTATAGAATAATCATAAAAAAAGGATTTACAATCTAGTGCAACAAATTAGCGATGGACGTTATTCGCGATAGACAGTTATTCAACTAGTGATCTGCCTGAACCGCGATCACTCGTGATTCAGTTATACAATAACTATCTATTTTCCATAACGTTCTAAAATTAAACCAAATTCACTCGTATGTCAACAGCATAAAGTCGATCTTTGATTTGACGATCACCAAGAAGTAGCGATCACAGGTTTACAAAAACTGTCTATTATCCATAACGTTCTAAGGTTAGACCGAATTAACTCTTATGTAAATAAAATTAGGTTGATTGTCGGTTGCCTGGCTTCAAGGTAGCATCGATCACCAAGAAGCAGCGATCACAGATCACAGCGATACGTAGACATCTTTATATATTAACGCTTTACATTGACGGTCATGTAGTGTAATTTTAATAACGGTATAGAATGTAACACGTAATGTAGAGCGTTTAAATAATGTGGATCGCACACAATCCAATCTGTCACGTGTGAATGAAACAAAAACAGGATGTCAGTACACGTGTGAATGAAATAGGTATATGCTAGTACGCTCACGTTGTTCGGGTTTCGGAGTGATCAAGTAACCAACCCAAAATTGAGCTTTATCGCGTTAGTATAAGGGTAAAATTCGGTTTGACTTTAGCGGTGTAGAAATAACTAGTTATCAAAAATAGACGGTTTTGATATCGGTGATTGGCGATCTGGTAGCGTTTGCGTTACGTGATTTGAAAAATGGATAACGACCCATCGCTACAACAAATAGTTAAGGGTAAATACATCATGCAATAGAAAGAGCAATATTTATAATAAACGGAAATATCATCCAACTCAAATGTGTATGACGCGGTCTATATGAATGATTAAAACAACAGTTAGTCTGTGGTTGTACCTATATGGTATTGATATGAGTGGAATTTTTTTCGTGTATAATAGGGATGACGACTGGGTAAAAAAAATGCAATTCTATTTAGTTTCCGTCAGTCAGATAATAGAAACATATTAGATACGTATTTTTTTTTTTTACTTCAATTTAACAAGAAATAGCTTAGATAACAGGCATTAAAGTTGAGGAGTGGGGGCTTGCTACGTCACAGTTGAGTAGAAATCGTACCATAACGTGACGTCATGCGAAATTTCAACTTCATGTAACACCGTAATTTTATGATTACGAAAAAAATTTAAAAAATACGTGTTTAATATTTTTTAACACTCTACCTGATGGACAAACAAACAAAAATTAGTCATCATCCCTATTCAAATAGAAGCATTTGTCGGAGTTAAGATCCGTCCCATTAAGTTTACACCATCTAACCAGTTCACCAAGCTTACTCTGAAGCATAGGTAAATTCTCCATACATGTAAATTTTGAAAGTATTATCATGTCGGGTATATCATAGACAAAAATAGCAAATAAGAGTGGTCTCAAATGCGAGCCCTGGGGTACACCAGACTTATTTTCTTTAATTTTGAATGATACCTATTCAAAACGACATAAAAATAACGACATTCAAGATAAGATTTTAATCATCTTAAAAGCGCATTCGAGATGCCATTTGCCGACAATTTCTTCAAAGAAACATAACGACATAAATGATCAAAAGCCTTGCTAAAGTATGCACAACGCCCATTTACTTTTGAGCATTAAGTGCTTCGATTAGACATTCCAACATATCTACCAGATTCGTGCTAGTGGATCTAAATTGAACAAAACCGTGTTGATAGGTACTAAGTTGTGGCTTAAAGTGGATCTGTATATACAGACAGACAAGGGATTCGAATACCTTTCCAATAGTAGACAAAATGGAGATGGGCCTATAATTTTTTAACAATAGATTGCTCTTTTACATATTTATTAATCGGTACTACTTTAGCCTTCTTCCACTCTGTAGAAAATATGCCCGTACGAAGCGAGATATTACAAATAATTAAAAGAAGTTCAACTAAATACTCTAAGAATTTAACACCATCGGGGCTGGCTCCTTTATTTCCGTCGATCTTTTTAATTCAGAAGTGTTTAATAATTTATTGTTGGAGAAAATAAATACTGACTATAATTTTGTCGCACATTGAATACTTAGAATGACTATAATAACGGAAACACTGTCAACGTCATTGGTACATGCAGATGCAAAGTACGAAGAAAATAATTCACAAATATGATCACCCTCAGAAGCTATTGTTCCATCTGTCATGGAGGTTGCACTTAGGTTTAATGTAGGACCAAAACAGTTTTGGGATTTTCTGATAATTGATATTCTATTTTAACAATATATCGACTGTAAGAATCAGTAGCCAACCGTGAGCAGCACTAAGTTATTATTTTTAACTCTAGTTCATCCATTAGATTTCTATCCTTTTTGTAGCGGCATCAAAGCAAAGCTTATATTTTTCTTGCAAACTTCTTTTAATTTATAATCAAACTAAGATAGGTATTGAGTTTTCTTAATTTTTTTCTTAGCAACAAATTTTTCAATAATGTTTCGGATGCTACTGTAAAATATTTGAACCATTTCATTTATACTTCTGATTTTTCTAACGAGTTAGTGTTCCCATTTCAACTCTCCAAGCTCTCTGTACATACGCTTGTAGTTTGCTTTATGAAAATTTTATTTGAAAGTTTCATTATTATAAGAAAGTTTTTGGTCAATAATTAAACCAATATCAGGATCAAGAGGAGGGTGTAGTTGATGTATAGTCAAAACTCAAAGTATTAAGAGATTTACTGACACTGCTAGTTTGCAAGTTAGACAAGACTAAGTCCAGAATCATACCAGATTTATTAGGTATGAAATTTACTTATAAAAAACAATGAATGACTCACACAAACCCGGCACCGTAAAATCTATGGAGTCATCACGAAACAATCTCCAATCTATAGATCTCAAATTAAAATCACCTAATATACAATGGTATATTGATTAATCTAAAACAACATTACAGTTTTCTATAAATGCGTCCAATACAGCACGACCAACCGGGGATGATAAATATACTACACATAAATTAATCCGCCGAATAGTATGTGGTACTGCTAATTCTTTAGTCATCCACAGGTCTTCCAGCTCCGATTCCCAGCTAACTATTCGCTCAGAGTAATTTTTTTTATATACGGCTATTAAAACCTCACCACCGTCCTTCCTACCAGAAAAAATACTGTTATCCCTACTTTTTCTATAAACAATATATCTTTGATCAAAAAGTTCATTTCTTGATACAGAATATTTTTGTTTGTATGTTTCTGTGAGCCCTATTATGTCATAGTCATTAAAAAAAGTATTTCCTGATAAAACTTAAAAGTATTCGTTCTTAAACTACGAGTATTTTGATAATACAACTTTTATATATCACTATATGAAATCAAATAAATAAAAATATGAATTTGGTTTAATTAAAGAATCTTTCTAAGCGTATCCATATTTTTAACCAAGTACTCCACAGACTTATGATGATTTTTCATTATTCCTCATGTATACACTACCGTAAGCTTCACCATTCAACATTTAATCAATTTAATCATCTAACATATAAAATGATTCTTATTTTTAAATTATATACACACATTGTGAGGAAGAGAAACCCTTTTAAATACTACATTTACGCATAAAATTTCATTCACTATTCATTTAATTTCATTTCAATGGACATCTTTCACAAATCACATTACTAAAGCTAAACTGTCAATTCTGTGTGTCAATGTCAGGAAATTGACAGCATTCAATTGTTCATTATTGCCATTTTACATTGTCAATGTCAAAATTCGATAATAAATGTTGGGCTAATGGATTTGATTGGCGTCGTTTTTTAGGAAAATTCTAAGGAAAGAATATCTTTATTAAAGTGATTTTCTGTTAACAAAATACCTAAAATGTCTCTAGATACGCCTTGTCAGTGTTGCTTATTGCGGCCACCAGATAAAGATTTGAAATCCACATATAGAATGCTAGGAAAATCCGAAGTGTATGCCGATATGCTGAAGGAGTGTTTTGAGATAAATGTAAGTAATTCTGTAACCCTTTAATTAGTTTACTTACATTTTCTCTTCGCTAATGTACTCATAACTTCCTTCTGACATAATCTTTAGTATAATAATTCTTTGAATTAATCTTGTTATATATAACGTGATGAAAATAAGGCCGTAACTAAAAAAAAAGACTAGGAAAATCTTTTTAATAACAATTGTATAAATATTCATTGGGTTAATTATAATGCAGTGAGTGAGGAACCTGAAAAATATGAATTGGTGAAAAATTAACAGATGCATATTCTGCTAGTTCAAGCATGTTATTCTTGACGGACTCAACTAACAGAGGGGAACCGATTATTACATGCATTGGTGTATTAATTTCAATTAATGAAATCAGTGATGACTATTGCTGTGGAAACACTCGTAGAAGTCAATTTAAGTATTACACTACAAATATGGAAATTATTTATTTTCCACCGGAACATTCAGATCACGCACTGTAATTTCTTGGAAACATCACATTGAGTACACACTCATATACCTATATAGCATAGTCTTATATTTCGTATTAAGTACTAAAAACCACAGCTCACATACACAACCATCAAAGTTGCCAACAAAAAAAAAATGTTTTTTTCATACTACCAGTGGTACCAAAGCATAAGTTGCAAAAAATATTTTGGTTACTTTTGTGACCATGAATATTTAAGTGGCCATGAACCCACTTACAATATCTAAGATCTCTGAAAACCTACAGTTATTTTTTTATTTGTATTGGCAGCAATTTAGTAAACAATAATACAATTATTTCCAGATATTGGCCATCGAAGGTGAAGGTGGTATATGTGAGATATGTATCACACGTTTAAGAGACGCATATGATTTCAAGAGACAAGTGCAGCAGTGCCAGATAAATATGCAAGATAAAATTAGAAATGCAGCTGTGAAAGGTATTTTCAGATTTACTGAACTTGTTTGTAACTGAAATAAAGGATATTCATAAATCGTAATGCTTAGATTTGTATAAATTTTTCAATTAGTTTAAAATTAACTGAATTATTACAGAAATTTATAAGTGATCATTGTTTTGTTAGTTGTATTATCAACATCACCACTATTTGCCACTCTCTAAATTAAAAATTATTAAAACTAAACATTATTGTAGGTCATTCATTAGAAATGAATTATTTTCATAATATTTACAATTGATATCTTAAAGAATCTCAAGAAGGAAAAAATATGCACTAAAAGGGACCCATTTTATCGCTTGTTATGTATCCCAAGCTCACAGGCTCCATACGAAATTTCAACTTGGGCCTGTTCGTTGACACCAATATACATTGAAAAATCCATTAGATAAAATTAACGACATGAGATTTCAATAGAGTGATAAATCTGAGATAAAAAGTTGTAATAATCATGGTGCATACATTTTTTCGAACAAGTTGATGTTGATAGTTTAGAACAGGGGTCAGCAAAAAGATCGCCTCGCAATAGGTTTTATAACGCTGCAACCTCATTGTTTGAAAATGTACTGCAGAAATGTAACAAATCGCGTGAGTATGCATAACGAGATGAGGTAAAAGTCGTGTGTACTACGGAGTCTTATCTACCCTGCAATCCGGTACACGGCTCCATATGGGCTATTTTGGAATACCATTTTGAACCCCCTACTAGACAAACTCTCAATCACTGTTCACAGTCACATGTGTAGGCCTCAAAAGGGCAAAAAATGGCAAGTAAGTTAAAATCAGGAAAAGTTCTGAATACAGTCCAAAGAGTGTTGAGAGTTTGGCAAAACATACAAGACTGTATCTCTCAACTCTGCCTCACTATTATCGACTGCATCCGCTGGACCTTCGTATCCAAAAAGCGTTAAAGAAGCGAAGTGAGGTGCTCGGTGGCGTAGTGGATAAGCGCCGCGGCTCGCGATTGTTGTCGTTAAGCAACTTTCGCAAGGGTCGATCACCGGATGGGTGACCAAAAAAAAGTGCAGTAGGGATGTAAAAGGGCTGATGATGATGAGAGAAGCAGAGGTGTCCGTCAAGGAATCGAACCATCTCGACAGCAATAGTTTGACTATCTGGAGGATGCACAAGAATATGGCGAACTGGCAGAAGACCGGGGGCTCTATTTTTGAATCATTCGTCTCGCGTCGAGCGCTCGTTTTCTACTGATTTTCGTTCGACTTAACAAATTCGCCATTTCTAAATCGCTCGACTGCAACGAATGGTATGAACCACTCGTCGCTTAGCGAACGTTGTATGCGAGTGATAGTAGAAAACGAGCGATCGACGCGAGACGAATGATTCAAAAATAGAGCCCCTGGTAAGGATTTGCTCGGATGGTTCAAAACCGGAGAGAAAAGTCGATGCTGCCCCGAGCTGATGGGAAGGCGCAGCTGATATCGTGTCTCGAAAGTTCAAGTTAGAACCGTTCTGTGCTGTCTTTCAAGCAGAGCTGTACGCTATCTTCCGAGCAACTGATATTGTTAAGATTAAAGAATGGAAGAAGCAGGTATCATTGCTCTCCAGTCGCTACAGGATCCAGATTTGTCGCACCCAATCACGAAGGCGACTCGACGTCGGATAATACAAGGATCACGGATATGAATCGTTTTCCATTTTATGAAGTGTCGTCGCCCGCAGTTTCTCTTCATAGATAAAGATGTGAACGAACATGTACAAGTTGACAAAAATATGATCTACGTTTGAGGTTCATTTGAACGTTATGAAACAACGCCGTCGATTATTTATTGTTGATATAATGAGGTGGCTTATTAAATAAAACTGTTGGAGTTCGGTAAAATTACGACAAAAAACGGAAGAGAGAAAAAAAATGTTGCCAACCAAACACTTTAAAATATTTTTATCAATTTAACCAACATAACAATGTAGGTAGCGTTCTCAAACACCAAAATTTATTAACCACATTAATTTATATGGAATCGTCTTAGAAAGCCGCTGTAAAAACCTTTTTGAATCTTTGGTATGGACATTTTTCTTGCAATTTGTGGTAGCTCTCAGTGGTGGCAACATGCATCTTGCATTAATTCCAGTGAGCCGTGACCTCCTTCGATGTAGTTCTTACATTCATCTGTTCATGTAAAGACGCAATGGGACTCGAAGATAGAGACTTATGAGACGCCGTAGTAATCAGTCAGTTGTTATAAAATATCGAATTTCTAAAATACCTAGACTCTTTAATTTAAAATTTCCGCTAGCAGCTTAACTCTTGTAGAACGTAGGACCCTAGAACTGTTGAGTTTTGTAAAAAATAGCCTATATGTTAGGTAATTCACGCTTAGAATTATGCGTATACTAAACATTAAAATGAGTTCCGTAGATTTTGCGTGAATGAGTAACAAACATATACTTCGACGCAAACTTTTGCATTTATATTAGTAGGGCTTTCAAAAATCAATTTACTATTACATATACATCGGAGAGACAATCAGAATTTATTATTATAATTTGATTGATCACTACAAATGTTTCAAAGTACGTAGCGACATCTAGTTTAATCGTGTGAACTACTTTTTCAGCTGCAATAGACTAACGTAATAAACAATATCACATTTCAACATCTCTTCTGAATAGCAAGCTAGCGATGGTCTAGCAAATTGTCAGTCACTTGGTAAAAGAAACTTATATTTCCAATACAAAATTTTTACATTCCTACTACTACGAACTCGATTCATTCTCCATGATTTTCGCAAGTCACAACTAATGAGACTGAGGAAAGCCCAATAAATAAGAATTATTTTTAAATTCCAGATGAAACGACGCTCAAAGTTAAAGAAGAAGTGGACCTTGGTGATCCAAATGACATTTATTTTTTAGGTAAGAAAGCTTATTTTAGTTCAGCTTTATAGTAATGTAGATCTATCTATACTAATTTTATGAAGAGGCAAAATATCTAACTTTTTTTTCAATTCTCTTCATCTCACCTCGGTAAGCATCATCATCCTGGGTCACATGAGCTATAATTTACGAGGGCGCAGTCACAGGAAAACAGCTAGTTACAGTATACAGAGCTCTTAAATATAAGAAGAAACTTTGTTTGCATTGGTTCTGAAAATATTGGGCAGATTCTAAAAAATCTCTCATACGGGAAGCTTCATTATGTGCTGGTGACGTAGATTAGAATTTATATCAGGAACACATAATTAAAACCTCTGTTCCAGCAAAGTATCTCTATACCAGCACAAGTAGCACGCAAAACTCGAGAAAAGCTTTGTCTACACCCAAATGCCACTTCTTAGGTAGCGAGTGAGATATCGTATGGGCGCACCCGACGTCTATATACTCATAAATGTGGTTATAATTCTCGGCAATCATCCGTGAGATATTTATAAATTATGTTTTGATCTATTTAGCTAGTAAAAAGGCTAAGGCTAGTAAAAAGTTTTGTCACCCCTAACGATTTCACATTACACTTAGATACAACTAATATAGCTCTGATGTACCTAGCAGAAGGTTGAAAGGTTGAATTTCAAATCGGCAAATGTCGAATAATCAGAATGATTCAAGTAGCACGCCGCGGTTTCAGTGTGAGCCCTTACACGGAAATGATAATTATAATTACTAACATGTTCGGGCTTCTTCAGTATTAGTAGTTCTGATTCACGGTTCACGATCCATATTAGATAGGTTTTATATTAAATGTGTAAGTACCTACTAAAGTTGGCCATTAAGGCCTTTACACATTCAAACACCACGTTAATATAACTACTATGACCTTTAGTGTGATAGACTCTTAGCATTTTAAAACCAAACAAGTACGCCGACTAGAGTCCGGAGCGAGCGATAATAGCCTAGACAAGTAGGGATGTAAATTATATGTAATTCAATTGTCAGAAATTAATAGCAAACCTATTACTATTCTCTTATTTCGAAATTCCTCCCTTTCTTTTACCATCCTAAATAACTACTCAATAATTGCAATGCCGGTCCATTCTTTGCACAAGCCCACTGATTGATATTTTTAATTTTAAAATACAAAAAGTTTTTAATTTTTAGCCCTCAAGGAAGAGATGTCTGACTTCGACGACGACAAAGGCGAATGCGACCAGTTAGTGGAAGTGCTCAGTTTCAATGACGTTACAGTTAAGAAGAAATCGTTAGCCAAGAAGAAGAACAGCAAGAAACGGCCCTTAGCCATGGAGAAGAGTACTCCTGGTCAGTACTATACTAAAATCTAATTTTATTTAAAGGTACAGGATTCCAGTTATTACCTATTTTTGTGATTCGCAGCATTTTTTTGTCTCTGTGAACTTCACAATGGTTCTTAGGAATTCATGGCATGATCACATATGGTCCTTAGCCCATATAATTTTTCTTTTTCTTTATCTTGTCGCTACTTAAGTGTAGGCCTACCTCAGCATTTTCCATTCATTTCGGAATTGAGCTCTTTCCAACCATTTGAAACTTGCATCCCTCTTGATGTCTCCTTTCCAGTGCATTTAGAAAAAAAAGTCCATATTAGAGGGCCCACATTACTTTGCTCAGATTCGGAAACTTGATATTTCCTTTATTTCTATTTGGGGACTTAAACGAAGTTGAATGGAATCATCGCATTCCTGTTTATTTAAACTTTTGGCCTAAATTCCATGGGCAAAATGCAAAATTGAATTCGATTGAGGTGATTAAGTCTAATTCCAACATTTGGAATTTTCGCGCAGAGATAATCTATATATTTAGGTTTCATTTTGCTTTATCTTTTTTTCTCTTGCCCTGCACCTTGACTACAGGCCAATTCAAATATCGCATTTAACCATTCTACTATCTACTTAAAGTTCAATATTATTAGTGCAATGTATTCCTCACACATAAATGATAGATAGATGGTGATAGATATATAATAATTTTGGACTTCAGGCAGTTAGTACAATGGCAAAATGCAAGTAGTTGATATTCTATTGAGATGCTATTATTACGTAAATATTAGCAGGACCTGCTAATTGCAAATCAAGCTACTTGGATTCAGTGAGTCCCTGCGATCATTGTCAAGTTATCTTTGCGGTTTTATTTCCACTTACATATCTGAAGTCTCGCATATTCACTTGTACTTACCCGTCTGCTATTAGTTCTTTAGGCATACTGCCTATTGCATCTTCAGCTGTCTGACCTGTTTAAATGTGTCGGCAACTTTTACCTACTGATCCTTCATTCCTGGATCGATCCCGTAGAGAAACTCCAAGAATAACCGTCACCACCAAGTTTATTTATGAGGCCCATAGTGAGACATTGATGAAAGTTTATGCTATCTATGCCGTATCCAAAACATTGCAGCGTAACATTTTATACTTAAATCGCAACTGTAATAGTAAGAATGCATTCCATAAGGAATATAATATTGGGTTTCATTGTTGGAGCAAAGACTATTCTTATGGATAGAATCACATCCGTATCTATATTGAGGACCCAGTATAGATTGGTGAGCATTATCGACTGCAGATGCAACAAGATTGACAGTAAAACGTATATTGTAAAAGCTCGAGAAAATATTTTTAGAATACTTATCCAATGATCGGTTTTTGCGCTTATATGATTCTGTTCATAAGATAGGCTTAAGTCAAATGTTTGACATTAATAAGAAGCTATTGATGATGATTATGTCTTCGACAGATCGCAAAGCAAAGAAAATCCTCAACGGTTCAATCAAGCTATCTCTCAGAGCTTTCTCCCAAATGGAAAAGATTAAGAGTAAAATGCCCAGCATACGTTTCCTCAGCGAGAGCAAGAAACACCAGCTGAACATACAAAATGTGCTGAAAAACTCCAACTGCACACCGTTCTCGAATAAAACTCTAGCTGGCATATTCTGCGCGTATTGCAAAGAAAGTTATACAGACATACAGAATCTCCGAACCCACACCCACGAAATGCACAAAGACGACGAAATAAATGAAAACAAAAGAATGGACAGAAACAATATTTGCGTTAAAATGGATATAACAGATTTGAAATGCAACATGTGCAATGCTAATTTTGATATTGTAGCCAATCTGAAGAAACATCTGACGAAAGAGCACGACGTGAAATTCTACCCGGATGTGAACGATTACATTTTAGAATTCAAACTGACAGAAACAGAAATACTCAATTGTGCTCTGTGCAATTCTAAGTTTGAAACGTTTAAAATGTTATTGCAGCATATGAACGGACATTACAGAAATTATATATGTGACGTTTGCGACATGGGCTTTATAAACAAGCACAGGTTGAAGAATCACCAGCGCACTCATGAAGTTGGCAGTTTCAAATGTGCTTACTGCGATAAAGTGTTCACAACTCGTGTTAGAAAGATGTGCCACGAAAAGTACACGCACAATACTAATGCAAGATACACGACAACATGTCCGCAATGCGATCAATCTTTCACGAGTTATTACCAAAGAAACAGGCATATGTTTAAGGAACACAACTCCGTCGCAGCAACTTATAAGTGTAATATTTGTGATAAATCCTTCATATTGAAATCTAAATTGACTTCTCATATTAAAAAAGTGCATCTAATGGAAAGGAATCATATATGTACGGAGTGCGGACAAGGTTTTTTTATAAAACAATCTTTAGACGAACACATGATTAAGCATAATGGTGAAAGAGTTTTTAAGTGCACAGTGTGTCATAAGGCTTACGCTAGGAAGAAGACTTTAAGGGAACACATGAGGATTCACAATAACGATAGAAGATTCAAGTGTGGTGTTTGTGGTTCAGCGTTTGTTCAAAAGTGTAGTCTTAAGAGTCATATGCTTTCTAACCACGGTATAACTTTGTCGGAGTATGAAACAGCTCAGATTGGTTTGGCCAGTCCGTAACGTTGTTTGTATTAGATATTAGAATTTATTTATTGTGTATAAAAATTATATGTTGAGTACTTATAGTATCATATTTAATTTTCAAATTGATACTTATATATATGCTTGTTATCTCATAGGACTTAGTTATGAATACTAAAAATAGTGTTGTTCGTTAAATAACTGAGTGACGAGATACCGTAACAAATGACAGGTCAACATCCTGTCGCTTACATGACGTGCAATAAAATATTAATTTCGTAATTGGACTTTTATGATTTGTGTTAGGCTCCATGTCCAGCGTTAAACTACGTTTATGTATTTTCGGAATAAATAAAAAAGGTTGGATAGGTCTAAGCTCCTATGTCATTATCTTCACTCTCCTATATTCAATGCAAATAGGCCATGAATTAAAAAAGAAGAAGAGAACGTGCTTCATTTCATATGGCATATAAGCGAGTTATGTACAATTAAATTCAATATAGTCCGTTCCATCAGAAGTGCTGAAAAATATAAACAAATATGGCGACATGACAGTTTTAGTGATGGGACGTATTAATGAACCGATTGATTGAACTATCTCATTCATGTCATTCAGTGACTGACATTTTCGCCACTTTTGATGGGATAAGGTATCATATTATTCTTCATATATGTTAGTTGAAGGAATAATGTAATATTTTTATTATTTGCGAGTCAACCACTTCTTTGGCAACAAATGCAGCAACGTATACGCGTTGTTGGACCACTGGAAATTATTTTTACGTAAAGTACATACACATGGATGGACCAGGAACATTTAGAAATAATACCGTTTGGTGAATCATAGACAATTATTTTTATATTTGAAGAGGAAATTTCCTCTTCAAACTTGTTTAACAATTGTGTAGTTATATTTTATGTTATAGTAAGTTTACATTACAACTATTTTATGTGCAATAAGTAAACTTTTATTAATGTTAAAGCATAAAGCGACTTTTGGTATTTAAAATGTCGTATTTTTTTTTTTACAATTGAAAATGGATCTTTCACGATGTTATTTAAAATTAATTTTATTTATTTCCTAATAAAATTAGTGGAATGATTTGTTGTTTATCTTGTGAAGTCTGATTTATTTGTGAAGTGCAAACAGGTGCTGCAGGCTAATTCTGCTAATGTTTGCGTGGTTAACTTCTTACATTGTACCAGTATGCTATCTACCTAGTCCAGTAATATTATATATCTGTCAACATTGATCTGTGAGGAAGATATCGCACTAATAATATTGAACTTCAGGTAGATGGTACAATGGTTATGCTCGAAATTGCGTTCGAAGCTGATTATTCTACAGAGTAGGAAAGCGGAACTGTTTGGATTCGTCGAAATAGTTCTAAGGGGCCGCTTCCACTAGCGGTATGGTACGGTAAGGTTTTTGTTTTTCGATAAATAAGATATAACTCCCCTGTCTTCTCATGTCACTAGTAGAAGCTACCCCAGCAAGGCATCATCCATTTGTTACGTAAGACTAAGATTAAGGGAGGGGATGGATGGGAGGGGAGGACCAGGTCTTGTGTTTTCTATAATAGTAGCTGTTTTCCCGCGACTTTGCTCGCGTAAATTATAACCCGAGTATGATGTCACTTCAGGTAGGTGTAAGAATTTAAAAAATCAGTTTATCAGTTTCGGAGCCTGTGCAAACAAACAAACCGATTAAGAGGTTTCGAATGAGGTATACTTTTTTCCATACCTCCGATAATATTAGGGCGACCTCCATGATATACACTCGCAAAAAGAATATTTCCTGAAATAGATTTTCGAGAAAGAAAATCTATTTTAGTAATTTTTCTTTAATTCTTAGGTAAAATTATTTAACAGGGTGAAAGGGTCGGCAGATTTCTTTTTTGTTACTTAAAAGGGGTTACCAAAATTTGGCAAAAATAGTCTTACGTAATAAACGAATAGCGCCCAAATCGATGACTTATTATGACCGTCCATTGAAGTCGTCACAATTGTATATATTTTTGTTGTAATTTGTACAGTTTTGTTATGTTAAATGTAATAGTGCAATAAATAATTTTTAAAGGTTTTCTCTTTTGATTTTTCTGTTGCCAGATCAGATACGACACACTTCACACGACTGTAAAATTTGCTCGCATGATTTTGATCTCTACTTTTTACTTTTTTTTAGTGATTGAAGATTAAAATCAAATGTTCGAGTTTTGTATAGTCTGATGCGCTGTTGACTGTATTTAGTAAACAAATCTTGTGAACGAGGCATAACAACAATACGGATTGGTAGGTGATAATGTCTTGATATGTCAACTATTAATGTTCTCACTACTGAGGCTCTGGCTTTTTCTATGGATGGAATCAAATAGGGAGAGTTGGCAATGACCCACCACTCCGGTCCAATGCGGATTGGTGGGTGTTAACGACTGCAGATGCAGTCGGAAACAACGTGCCTTCCGAAGCACGGAGGAGCTGGGAATAATACATTTTTGGTCACCCATCCTATCGCCGTCCCTCGCGAAAGTGGCTTAGCAGCCGCATTACAGATTGCTTTACTTGAGTAATGCCCGTATTCACTAACCTAGAACAAGGCATAGCTTAACTAGAAATCACTTAATATTAAGAATAGCAAAAGCAGATTTGTCGTTTCACTAAAATTAGGTAACGCCTTGTAAGCACTTGCTTAGATGAGCAATGTTTGTATGATTTTCAATGCTCAAGTTTTTCTTTTTTTTTTATTGTATAGCCTATTTAAGTTTACACAATTCTGCCAATGTCACGTTAATGGCGTTTACACGTAAATTGACAATAAAAAAAAATGTATTTATATTGAAGCGCAAACAAGCGTTGTCCTTATATAAAAAGTCCGAAAAATCCTATTGTTTATAAACTCCTTGATTTAACTTATTAAATTGATTTTATCCCTTGATACAATCGTTATGGCCGAAGAGTATATGTCACATTACGCAAATGCGTAACGGTAGTTTCTTACTTACTCTACGTTCTCGTCGTTTAACCAATGCTAAAAATAAATGCTTAATTACCTATATTTAAGTAATTACTTCTATTTAGATAGGTACGAGTGTGTACCGTTAGGTAAGAAGGGTCTTTAATTTTTATAATTAGATGTTAATATTTCTAGGGGGCGTTTTAAATGATAAACAGCAGTTTCAGTTCATTATTCTTTTATTTTATATACATTGCACTAACGCAGTGGCTAGATGCCAGTAGTATTTACTTCAGTGATGCATATGAAAATATGAGCTTTTCACAGTTTTTAATCATCATTAGCCCTTTTACTTTCCCACGCTGACCCAATGTGGAGGGCTTTCCAAAGCACGGAGTAACTCGAGATAATAATTACTTGCTCACCCATCCCGTGACCGACCATCGTAAAAGTGGCTTAACAACAACAATCGCAAGCCGCGGCGCTTATACGCCATCGAGCTACTTTTCGATCACCGTACGTAAACCGTACGGGAAAATAATAAGTTTATAACGGACGATTTCAAAGGTCTGCCACTACCGCCATCTAGGAGAGCCATTCACAAACATACTCAATTTCAGATAAACCTATATTATCACTGATATTGCATCTTCTCAATTTTAATTAACTTTAAGATTCTTTAACATAAACACTCTATTTTTCCGTTGTTCAGACTGTTAAATGAAGCAAGCGCCATTAATTACAGAACAATTTCCAACTAATGGCGTAACATGAATAATCATCAGAGCAAATGAAACTTAGGGTTAATTTGCTTTTTATTAGTTAAACTTAAGGTTAATTTGCTCTTTATTTGCTTATTAGTTTTTTAGGGTTGCCCTTCGAAAGGAAACGTACGGACAGACGGACAACAAAAAATATCACTTTATTGTCTGTCTGTCAAGACCTTTTTCCTCAAGTGTGGAGGTATCGAGCTGAAAATATCAAAAGCTTCGGTGCGCGAGTCCGGTTCTTCTTTAACACTTTCCGTTTCATTCACGATCGATTCAATGTCAGTGATAAGCTTAAATATTCCGGCACTATGACGTCGTGATGTCACTCGCCGCCATACTTATACCATGATTGGATAGCAAATGACTTTTCAAACTACACTTCTGTACAAAAGACATAGCGCAAACTTCGCATTTGAACCTCCTATCGTTATTATGTATCCTCATGTGTTCTCTTAAAGTATATTTCCTAGCGTACGATTTGTGGCAAACTTCGCACGAGAAATTCCTTTCCCCCGTATGTTTAACCATATGAGCTTTAAGCGCTTTCTTGCTGAAAAACCTAAAACCGCACTCGGTACACTGACAATTCCTCTCCATCAAATGATTCTTCTTTATATGATACATAAGCAGAGACTTCAATATATAAGCCTTATTACACACATTGCACTTGTATTGAGCCTCAGAATTATGCACTTTCACTAAATGTTGATTACGCTGGTAATAACTCCGGAAGGATACGTTGCAATACGGACAGTTACCAATATTCCTTGCACCTAAATGTTTCATTTTCTCATGGTAATGCTTCTTAGGTTTACTTGGGAAAATTTTGTCGCAATAATCGCATTTGAAACTACCCTCCTGGTGAGTTGTGATGTGAGCGTTCAAAGAACGTTTGGTAGCGAACGAAGATTCACATTTGTTGCAAGTATAATTGCTGTAATGTATATTCATATGCTGTTTCAACATCTTAAACGTCTCATATTTGCAGGTACAGAGGGCACAATCGTAAATATCACCTTTTTTAAGCTTAAACTGCAATATGTGATCTTTTATATCTCTATGAACTGTTTTAGCGTGTGATTTAACTAAGTGATCATTCAGTATAGTTAAATTTTCCATTTTCGTATCACACAATGTGCATAACAAATCTTGTACATCTAATTTAACACTGTATTCGGCCATATCAAAGTTTGATTTGAATTGGAGACGTATTTTAGCGTGATCCGTCTCGGTGTGAGTGCGCAAATCAGCTGGGTCTTGGTAAGTGGCATCACAGTAACCGCATATGAAGCCTAACAGTGATTTGTTCTTGAAAGGTGTAGCATTAGAGTATTTGAGTATGGTCTGAAGGTTTTCTTTATGTTTTATTTTGTCGTTGATAGTGCGGGATGTCCATATCAAGTTGACTTTATCTTTTGGAACTGCGATTTTCTGTCTCGTTTCAGTTTTCTTTCTCTTCTTTGGTAACTGTATCTCTTTGATGTCGAGGGAATCTGAAAAAGAGAAATTAACTTTAAATATTAACAATTGTCATGATTGTAGACTTATCATATTTGCCGGAGCGCAAAGCTACAGTGGTTTGCCTAGGGCGCCAAGTTACTTAAAAAGTTCTGCCAATATATTGAAGTGTAAACTTAATAAGGACTATGCCTAGATAAAAAAATAGATATTCCATTTAGTCTGTCAGTTAGATAACAAAAACATATTAGATGTGGGGGCTCGCTACGTTACAATTAAGTAGAAAATGTACAAAGGTGTGACGTCACGCGACATTTCAACGCAACGTATCGCTGTAATTTATTGATTATGCAAAAAATACGAGTTCAATGTTCTGCAGTAATCTAGTGAGACAAACAAAAATAAGTCATGCCTTTTGGAGAATTTGACATTTTTGTAATACGCAAACGTAATCTTGACTGTACAATACATCCGTCCAATAATAGTAAAGTAGTTTAACTCACTAATGCTTGCAAGTTTCGTTACTAAACTCTTAATTTTATCATTCCGCCATTTCCCAGAAGCGCTACTGTGTCTATTAACATTCTTCTTAGTTCTCTTCTCTATAATACATTCTTCTGTTTCTTGTTTTATGTCCTCTGTTGACGCATCTTTTACTGTAAACAAAAAAGTTTGAATATAACAATAATACAGAACTGGAATTCTGTGGGACATATTAGGCTAAAATTAGTTAAATTAGTTGGGTTACATAAAAACGGGAACCCTAAAACTCCACTCTGTCCGTCCGTTTGTCACTAGGCTGTACCTCAAGAATCGTGATAAGACAGTTGAAATATTCAGAGATAATATATTCTGCCTCTTAAATCAGAGGTTTTGTTAAGCGATCCAATTGAATGGCACCCTTCAATAAGGGCTAGATTGTATGGCTGGATTAACCAGTTGACTGAGACATATATTTTTCTGTAGATGACCTAACAACAAATACTAAAAACGGAATAAAATAATTAATTTAATATTTAAAGGAGCCAGAGTCCGAGTTGGACTTGACCGGTTTTATTTTTTCTGTAAGTAAACAACACCAGTAAACTTATTATCATTCGTGGTCGAGTGGTACTGAAGCCGGATTCAATCTCTGCGGGTCCGGATTCGATTCCCAGTCGGGACAACATAGAAAATTTGTACATTTTCTACAAAGTTGTGACATAGCCAGCGCCCACTCCGTAACTTTAATGCTTATTGAATTTCCTTTCATAAAATGGCCTTTAACATAGCAAAAAAATTTTGTGTCTTATGTAACTAATGGACTAAATAGAATTTCATTTATCCCTATTAATTGTGTGTTTCGTTATAGGTTGTATGACATTTAGCTGTAGAAATATTATAGTAGACTATCTGTAGAATAGTCCACTACATTACTACATCATTATCAATAGTATTGGTTTATTATGATTGCATTATTCATAGGTCCCAGGTTCAATTAACCAGTACAATCAATATCGAATATGAACTTGTTATGTTGTATGTTACCCTAAAAGTTTTCCGGGCACATATTTCCAGATGTACAGCACTAATTATGGCCCATTCCCCTTAACCGTACATAAAGCCTGAGCTCCTGAAATGTAAAAGGGCTGATGACAATGTAAAAGTCAGTGGTTGAATGGATGATCACAAATCATTATTTTGAGTTTCTCCATCAGTAGTCTGGTATCGGATGCATCCCTATTTAGGACTTTAGTACTTAACTATCCGCATTAGATTGGTTAGGCTGTGTGATGGGTTAGGCTACTGTTGGCTGTAGGAACGGCCTGAGTCTTGACAGTGGAGATATTGATGTGAACATGTAACTCACCTGCATCAGCTAAAAAGTAATCGTCAGAATCATCACCACTTTCAACTAAAGGCTCCAATTTGATCTTAATTGGTTTCTCATCTGAAAATTGAAATAGTACTTAAAAGGATTGAGCTAAATAAGTTTTGAAATATTGTTACCTAATTCGAGAATAAAGTTACAACTATAGAACAGTCACCAAACAGACAATTTTGTACCTTGTTGTGCCTATTGATAGATATCATAAACATTTTCTATAAACTTTACTATGACACAATTGGTTAGATGCATCTGTGTGAGCGCAATAGCAATATTGCACACAAGTGAGATATGTAATAATAATAATAATAAATTTTTCTGTTCGGCAAACATGTTATATTTTACCTTGAATTGCATTGTTTTTATTTCTCTTAAGAAATTCTTTTTCTGACTTCAGCACTCGTTGTTTAAAATCTAAGGAACTCCTCAATTCTTTTATACAGACATCACATATCTTTGACGGTTCAGAAGAATGTAACTGAAAATAAATTAATATAATTTTACCTACTCTGAACTACAGGATCCAAAAAATTTACATTAATGACATTAAACAGTAAATTTTTATTTCAGAAATCCTGCAAAAAATATTCAACAGGTCACACAAAATTAAATACAAATTTTTGATATTACAAATGTACTTTTTATCATTATCACTAATTATATGATGGCTAAACATGGTTTTAACAATTTTTTTTTGGTTATTTTTAGATTTTTTTGAAGTTTAGTATTTAAATAAACAGTCACAAGTTTTCTGAGATAACAAAACCATCAAAACAATGTTTTTCCTTCAGTTATTTTTAAATAGACACAACTACAATTTCTATATTGTCAAGGGACTCCTTTGTGATTATATGCTCATTCTATTTACTTTCTATTGAAACAAAAAATAAACATTAAGAAAGTGTGAAACCTACATACACATTAAAACATGGAATTGAGAATCTCCTCCTTTATTCAAGTCGGTTAAAAAGATCAGGTCATGTTAACTATACATTATAAAAAAAGTTGTAATACAATACAGAAATAGGAAGGTCCATAAGGAATAAGATTAGTCCTCAATTATCTTACTTCTATATGGATTCTGGTAGCATAGAATTCGTTGCTATTAATGCAAGGCAAAGGGTTTTTGAGCTTGATTTATAACGACACAAATAAAAACTTACTATTATGTTGAAACAATCTTTTAGCATATCTGAATAAATTTCTTTTTTATTAAACCATACGTAGCCAGAATTTAAATCTTTATGAGCGCCTTCTGAGAGACAACAGCGGCACAAATCGGCTTGCATTTTGTTAATATTATTTATTTATTTCAAAACAAGTTTATTTTAGACATTGCTTCCCCACTGGTTTTGACCAAGTTTTCACAATAACACTTGCCATTATTTTTTTGACAGTTGACTGACAACAAGTTGACATTTGTGTTAGGATAATAAGGAAATTAAAAAAAAAGAAAACCCAAGATTTGGCTGTATGGCTTAGTTCCTTCGCCCTTCCCACGGACGAAACAACTACTACTACCTACTTAAAAAAAGCACTAAAGAAGCACCTCCACTAGATGGCGACTCTAGCAAAAGTTGCTTTCTGCATGCAGGAAACGAATGGACCAAAAATAGTCATTTACGTTTCTTTAAAATAACATATTAAAAAACTGATATTGGCAAAGTTCGAAACCTAGATATTAATACAAATACGAAAAAGTACAAATAAAGTTTATTGTGTTTAAAAACTAATTTACTGTTATTAATAAAAAAAAAACGAAAGTGTTGCCATATAGAAATCAAAAAAGTACTGTAGCTACTGACATCTAGTTTGATTTCGGGAACTATTTTTTTTAATACTTCCTCATTTCCAAGAGGAAACTTTCTGGATTTTTTTATTTTTTGAATTTGCAATATTTCTGGAAATAATATCTAAAACTTAATATTGGATTTTTACTACACTTACCGATTAACTGACAGAGAATGCCTCTTTGACATTAAGACAACCGATTGTCAATTGATATTAGGCAATAAAGATTCCAAGATGAATATCTAAAGCCCCCGTATTATGGGTTATCTGAGGTTACCAAGATACTGTAACACCATATTTTACATTGACCCGACCCAGAGTCGAACCTGAGTGATGGCAGCACCTTGAAACCGGCATGTGAACCACTCGTCTACAGAAGTCGTCGAAATTAATTATAATTTATAAAAAATGTTCTAATGAGATTCAGCGATATAGTGTGTGGTAGTGGAAATAATGATAGTATGATAAATAAAGACCTATTAGAATTAATAATGTTTTGTATAACCTGTATAACTATAAATAGGTCAACAATTCTAGGTGTTGCCATCTCTGAGGTCCCGGTGCAATTCAGAAAATGAGCTTTTCTATCTTGTCTCACACAAAGGTCCACATCCATTACTTCACTCGTATTTCTTCTTTTGTTTTTTTGCGATGTTTAACGTCGCATGTGTAGTGCCTTTACTTTTTTTCGCGGAATATTGAGAATAGAAAATAGCATTTATTTACCACGTGACTTCTTTATAACGAGTTGTAATTAATCGGTATGAATATACTGGATTTGTAAGGACCTTTAGAATAAGTATCATAAGGGTAAGGCTGCCTAGTAATTGTGTTCTGTGGGGTAAGAGCGCGTTGTCTTTAAAAAAATTGAAATAGAAAATGGCGGATGTGTCAAGCGGCAGGAGAAAATGACGCCATGGATGTTTCTTGTGTGAAGAATGATAATACTATTGCTTAGCTTTTAATAATTATGTTAAAATAGTGCTGTGATAATGGAGTTCGATGCGATTGTGGTTAAAGAAAGCCCCGGGCTTTGCCGGTGCTGTCTTTCAGAGGGATGTTACAAAGACATGGGGACCGAGTATGCATGGATGAATGAAACCGAAGTTTATGCTGATATGCTTTTGGAATGTTTCGATATTAGTGTAAGTTTTAAGTTTTTGTTATTTATTTTATATTGTAAGGGATCATTACGAACGAACGTTTCTTAGCAATTTTTTTTAATCTTTAAAACCAGTAGAATAAGAAAGGAATTTATTCTAAAATACCCAAATTTTACCTAAAATCAATTGAATTTTAAATATCAGAGTTCCACCAAATTGTAACCCAATACTGGAATTAACAAGATGTTTGTATGTATGTAATTTTCATTCTGAAAATCTGGAAGTGTATTGGTTAAATGAAACAATGTCAGTATACAGTTTTAAAATGTAATTGAAATTTTCTATTTTATTTTATTTTTCATGGTAGATCAATGGTTGCATAAATGAACTTACAGTATTACTATTGTTAAATAAATATTCTTATATTTTTTCTAATTAGATTTCTCAAATCAATGATGGCCCGAACGGACCGAACCGTCTTATATGCGAAGTGTGTATCACACGTCTACGAGATGCCTGTTACTTCAAGAAGCAGGTGCTGGACACAGAAAAAAAGTTTGTCGATATGGTGGGAAGGGGAGACTTCAGGCCGAAAGGTATTCTTTTGTAAAATATTTTTGACCTATTATATTTGTAATATTATAGCTTGTCAGTTTTTAAAATTTTATGAACACATGTATGCTAACAGCCACTATTAAGAATGTCAAATTTTCTCAGTTCATTTTGAACTCTACTTACAATGTGATAAGATGATGCATTTATTTCAAGAACACATAATGATATACAAAACTATCTTTTCTCTCTAGTAAATTTTTGACATTCAGTCTATTGTTATGTTAGCATATTAAACAGAAATTATGACTTGATAATCAAATAGTACAAATTATACAGTAATTCTAATTTATAAACTGTCTCCATTTTGCATCACATGCAATAAAGAATTATTTACTCACAGTCACAGAATAGTTAGCAGAGTAAAGTAATAGTGAGCACAGTAGGAATTAATTAGTCTTCAATATAAATTTAAAACTAATTATGTCATTGCTGCATATTTGGATGTAAAACAGAAGGGAATCATTACCATAAGACCTGTATCTATAATATTCCTTATTAACATACCATATAAATAAGAGATTTTTTTATGAATAAAAAGCTTTAACAACACTGTTGCCATTTTAATTTGAATATAAATCTTCTAACCAATACTTGTGAACTTTCTAAAGCTTTTGATTGCACAAGTTGTATGTAATGTCAAATGATAATATAGTATTTTTGTGCCTAACTTATATTCCCTCATAATATCATTTTAAGATGGGAAGAATGCAAATGGTTACTATTATTTAGTCTAAGTTTGCTTGATGATACCCATAATAATAGGGGATTATTGTAATGGGTATGCTCTAAGGATTAATATTAGGTCCTTTACTATTTTTTCAGAGAATGCTACTAAAATAATTATAGGGCAGTATGCTCTCAGGATTTTATTTTGTCATACACAAAAACATTATTTTTCCATGGTGACCACTTTGTTCAAATAACTTTATTCTGTTCAAACAAATGTAATTTATGATATGTTATGAAAAGATGTGATGTCACTGTATTACAGATGTTTTGTTTTTATTTTAAAGTTCTATACCAATCAAATATGAAGACAGAAACTTGTGAAGCGGTTGTGGTCTCACTGGGTGCAGATGATGGCGAAGTAGAATACTTAGATGATGAAATGGATTATGAGCCTGGTATGTCTTGGCTATTTACCTAAACATTGTTTAAAATATGCTATCACTATAAGAGATAGAAATCTCTTTATGTATTTGTTACTTGAGTAATATGTAGTATTAAATTCTCTCGACTTTCACAAGTGCTTGTAACAGCCTCGATTGAATAATTTATTCTGATTTAATTTGATTTGATAGTCATATGAAACTCGATAAGAATAATGGAATTAGTTTTATAATTCATATTGGGAGTCTGACAGTATTGTATTTTTTGAAAAGCTTAACTATAATCGTCGTGATATAACGTCGTATGGTTTTTTAAACAGTGTCGTAGCTGCACTAGAGATCAATATGGTGCTTGTGCACAAGACTTACAGACGTTATGACTATAGAGCGACATGGCGAACTGACGTAATAAAAAAAAAAGAAAAATAAATTGTAAAATTGAATTGCATTTTTATGGCACTTATGACTAAAAAATGAGTAGTCCTAATTCCACAGTTTTTTTTTTGTATGTTTTTGTTAGGGTTCCCATAACTTTGTACTGGGTGGTTTTGATGATTCTGAATATAATTGAAAACTTATTTTGAGTGAGATCGGATATGTAATTTTGTTTTTCAAAATTATTTCGATCTTGAGATTGAAATAGACTTTAATAAAAACTAGCAGGCCTGATACTTTAAGAAGATTTAATTTCAAAGATTATTCGATTTGTGAGCATAATCTGATGTCAAAAAAATCTTTAAATTTATAGCTGGTTCAGTAATTCTAACAATTTTAATATGGGTGTAGACAGTAAATGAAAATAAATACATATTATTTTTTCTGGTAGTGTTAAATTTACTATTACCAATATTTACACTGTTATGCTTATTATATTTATAATATTGCTTAAATTAAATATGTAAAAACGAACATTTTGAATCACTGTCATGTGACAGCATGTGACACCCCTATTACTCATATCATATATAAAAAGGGGTGTAAACCAATTCTAAATATCACATTTCTAATAGGTTTTGCTGTACTCTATGAGCACAGGTGTATTTATTGTTTCTTTTTTGAATTTTAGGATTTGTATGTTCAGAGATTTTCATTAAGTTTTTGTATACAAAAATATTATATATAAATGTGGGTACATTTATGACGCTTCTATATTATCAATCATTTTACAAAATAGAATTTTAAAAATACTTTCTCTTCACAACAGATACATTGAAAGAGGAGGGTCAAGATCCAGAGCCAACTGTGTCCGCTGACCCCCTACCGATTAGGGGGAAGCGTGGCAGACCTAAAAAGTCCCCCACCAAACCGGAGAAGAAGAAAGTGAAGGTGGAAACGAAGGCGAAGTCATCAAAGGCGCTTGTGAAAGGTAGGCATCGATTTTTATCTTGATTACAAGTCTTTGGAAACAATGCATTGTGTTTTGTTTGAGTGTTTAAACTATCTTTCTGCTTGTGGCTTCACACGCATCTTACTTGGTTAATGCCACTTTTCGTGGACCCCTTAAAGCCAATTTTACCTAATAAAAATTATCCTTTCCTTTCCCCAAGTCCAGTCTATGTTTTCTTTAATATTTTTTTAATACTAGTTCAGTAGTTTAGGCGTTAAAATGTAATAGACACACAGTGTTACTTTCGCATTTATGTTTGTACGGAAGAGCTTAATTTAAAACATTTCTTAAACATACCTAAATATTGTTACTAATCTATAATAATCGCCAATTAAATACACATACCAACTTACTATAATAATCGCCAATTAAATACACATACCAACTTAATTTATTTAATAAAATTATAAAAACAATCCAATAACAAAAACCACAATAGGGATGACGACTGGGTAAAAAAAAATGCAATTCTATTTAGTCCGTCAGTAATAGAAAAATAGTAGATACGTATTTTTTTTTACTTTAATTTAACTAGAAATAGTTTATATAACAGGCATTGAAGTTGAGGAGGTGAACAATATTTAGACCAAATCGTAGACTTATTTTGAAAGTTGAACAGTGATTTTAAGTTTCATCGTTTTTGTAATTATAAATCCGTAAAGTTTAGGATTTCTTAAATCACTCCAATGCAGGGGTGTCAAACTCAAATTGACAGAGGACCACATTTAGATTTGGAATGTGTACGTGTGCTAGGATCAAATAAAAAAAAGAAAACATACTGATGATTAGAAAAGCATGAAAATTAATATAAAGCCATCTAGGCATATCCTTTAGTGCGCGCGCGCGCTTTTTAAACTTCTGTAGAGGCCCAAAAGCCCAAAAAACAGAGGAAGATTTTTTCATATCACTTATCACTTTTTATAAAAATCACGTCGTTGTCTATGGTTAATGTGACACTCCCCTATAATAAGATATAAGTCTGATCATGGGAGTTTTGCTTGACTTTTCCTGTCCTGGTTCCTGTGTCCTTTATTGTGTGGTGTATATCAGTTTTATCTTTTGTTTAATGTTCCACGAGTTCACAGCATCCGTTAGACTAAAAATCAAATACGTCCACCTATTAATTCAAATGTTTTAACTATTTCTTTTAAAACACAATACTAAAGTTCCGAAGACATATGTTTTGGTAATTATTTTGTTACTGAATTGAAAACATTTATTTAATATACTGTAATTTCTGTAATCAATTGTGCACATTACTTTTAAGGTTTAAAATTCAAGTAAAGAAATATGTAATGTGCTATTTTAAATTAATAGCAATATTTTAAGTATAGTTTTTATACCGTTATTTTAGTAATGAAATAATTACCAATTTAAGTTTTAGTAAATAAACCATATTCCGATTGAATATTTAAGATAAATTTACCTTAGAATTACGACGAGTGGTATATTCGGCCGACGACGAGTAGTATATTCGGCCTGACGCCGAATACTGAATTATCTAGGGGTTTCCTGACCGAATTAGGTAATCGTATTCGGCCAATGTATGGTGAGGAATTTTATATCAACGACATTATTTGTAATGTTTCTTATTTGAACAATATATTCTAAATTATCATAATTGAAGTCATTAATTTGGTAGTTTATTTTTAAATGTTAATTAAATAAATAGATTTAATTGTCTTACTAAAGTATTTGGCATTCCGCCGAAAATCCTCGTTATTAGAACCTTTACAAAAAAAAAAACAGATAAAGTTCCTTGCAAATCTGGTTTTCTGATGGATCTAGGTACTGTTTGCATACTATATTCAGCCTTATCTAAATTAGAGAAAGTCGACATTCGAATATTTGCTTGACTCGATATTCCATTATTTTTTATTAATATTATAATCGCGATTCTATATTGAAGTGGTTGCTGACGTTTTCATAAACGTTACCGTTTTGACTTATTAGGAAACTGAATTTACCCATTTGATGTCTGTAGCCTGATTTTGAATTATATTGTCAAAACTGGTATTTAGAACACTTTATCTTAATTTATTGATTCACTTGGCATTGGCAGAATTGTGCGAAATGCGCAGATAAACCATTAATAAAAGAAGAAATAAAAAAATTGGGCCTGAGTGTTGGGAAGTAATCCATATTATGATTGGTTCACATTTCATTCATAGTTTAACTTATATTTAGGAATTAGAGCTATTAATATAAAACAGAACTTTTTCATGATTAAAAAAATGCAGAACGCAGAAGTTTGTGTGAACTTATGATCTTTTTTTAGTAAACTCTTATTGTATTTGGTAAATAAACCAATCGTAACGATGACACTAAAAATCACTTTTCGACGTGTGATGAAGAAAATAACTAGATATCACAGAACGAAGCGATGAATCATTTAATAGATCTATGTTACATCACTAAAATGAAAGCTTGCACCGTTAAATTAAAAAAAAAAAAAACATGAATTGAGCTGTCAGTAGTAGTAGTCAATCTTATTTAAAATCAATCGACTGACCTTGATGAGCCAAGTGCTTAAGCAACTCTTCTTAATAATACATGAATGCTTAAAGTTAAAATGTGAAGAACATCTCAGCAATTGTCGGTCTGGTGTAGGCATGACAGAAGCCTTATTTGCAGTACAGATTTTGCCCAAAAATGCAGAGACATGTATCAGGATGTATACCTCTGTTTTGACGATTATCAAAAAGCCTTCGACAGAGTTACACGATCGACTGATCGTGATTCTGAAGGCATTAGTCTCGACTAAAAAGATATCGCATTATTCAGAATCTGTACTGAAATCGGCCACTGTTCGATTGGAACAAGAGGAGACCAATGACATATCGTAATTATGGAAAGTCACTAGCGCTTCAACTACAAAATTTTGTGATGCAATTCTTGTAGCTAGATCACAAAATAATAAATATATCTGTCACTACTGATTTGTGAGGAAGACATTGCACTAATAATATTGAACCTCAGTTAGACAGTACAATTACAAAATGCAAGTAGATGAGATTCTATTGAGATGCGATTATTAAAGCATTTTTTATGATTAAGAGTAATTTTATTGTGCCGGCACAATTTGATAAGCTCATCGAGATGTTTTTGGAGCACAATGGAATCTGTAATCATGTCAATAACTCTGCCTATTTTCAAGTAATCTGCATATATGTATATGCAGAGTGAATAGAATTGGACTAATGTGTGATCCCTGTGGTACGCTGGAAGTTATTATCATTCACTGCCACATAAAAAGTTCGATATTTTAGATAAGGTCCAGTTCAACATTGTCCCTTTTATGCTACAGGCTGATATCTTTTTAGTAATATATATATGAGGCAAACGATCAAACGTTTATTAAAATCTCTATATACAGCGTCGAGTTGCTTGTGATTATCCAATGCCTTGGTTAACGTCTCGGAAAGATCAACTAAATTTGTGCAATCTACATCAATCTATAACAAATCCATGTTTATAAATAGTAATCTTTGTTTAAAGTGACGCTGCATATTAGGACAAACAATCGATTCTAATATTTTGGCGAGGGCTAAATAAAATTGAAATGGGTTTGTAATTTGATACCAAGTTAGCAGCACTTGACTAATAAATTGGGACTACCCTAGCCTTTTTCCACTCAACTGGAAACAGACCCGATTTTGACGACATACTAAAGTTAGTCAAAAGAGGCGTAACTAAACAGTCAGCACATCTGATAAATACAGGAGGTATCCCATCCGGACCTACGACTTAAGTTGAGACTCTTTTATCCTGGTATGCCCTTGAAACCACAATTTTGTTTAATAATTATTATGTCTTAACTTTTTTTTATATCGATGTGGGAGTGTGTGCTTGCATATGAGTGCATACTTGCGTGCAGGCGTGTGTGGGTGTGTATTTGTGGTGTGCGTTTATGCTTGTCGGAGAAATGTCATATTAAACAATATTTAAACCTGGCATATAAAGCTGTGATTATGTCTTTAATTTCCAGTACACAACAACCGATTCTATCAAACGAAAGATGCCTTTCTTTGTAATAGTCTCATAGGACATTGACCTATAAATAATAAAGTTTCCGTCCGGTTATTACATATTGCAAATATCTTATAGAGAAATGTTTTAAAAATTCGATAGTCTCGGGTGCTCAAGAGAAAATTCGAACAAATATGACGTATATTAACTACGCACATTAAAAATATTAATGGATCGTTAATCTAATCATAGTGTATAATAGGAATTTAGAGAATTTTAAATAATGTTCTTTAGGCGTTACATGCTATGTTTGAAAGATTTTACATCGTAGATTCGTCGTGACAAAATTTGTTATCTTGTAGCATTCGTCTATCTGGTGTTCTTGTTGCCAAAATATTTCTCAAATGTTAGGTTTGCGGTTTTGTCAGTAGGAAAATCTAGAGTTCTCGAAGCGCCTACGTCAATTTTCACATTCTTATTTCACTTTTTAGGTGCGAAACATCTCGACACCGAGGCAACGAGTAAGTCCTCAATGACCTCAACAAAACGAAATCGTCTCATGAAGAAAAACGCTATAACGGTTCTAGAGAATTCCAAGGTGACACCTTTCAAATGGCATAGGCAAAACTTTCTGTGCTTCTTCTGTCATTTGCCTTTTAAAGATGCAAAGTTGCTCAGAGAGCACACGAAAAATCTTCACAAGAAATCCAGTATAAAATCCGCAGTTTCCTATTTGCGGAGAGATGAGAAAGTGAAAATTGACGTATCGTCGCTTCAATGTAAATGCGGTCACACTTTCGACAGTCTGGATAGTCTTATAGAGCATATAAGGGTCCTTCACAAATGTTGTTTTACCGAAGTTTGCGGTTACGGTTTGATTCCTTACAAGTTAGATTTGGAAGGGGACAGTTTCCGTTGCGCTGTGTGCGCAGAACAGTTTCAGTATTTCATAAAACTGAACCAGCATATGAATGAGCATTATGGGAATTACGTATGCGAATCCTGTGGGAAATCATTTCTGAGTCAAGATAGGTTGCGGTGTCATGCGCTCGTACACGGTGCTAGATTCCGATGCAATATTTGTTCAGAAACCTTCGACTCTTTAACGCAGAGAAACAATCACGAATCTAAAGTTCACAATAAAGTGAAGGAGCTGAAATGCTTCTTCTGCCCAGAAACTTTTTCTAACTACAATGTCAGAAAGAGACACCACAACTCTATACACAACTTGCAAACACCCGAATTCAAATGTCCTGACTGCGGGAAGTCGTTCCATATCATGAGCAAGATGAAGGTGCATTTAAAAGAGGTTCATATCAAAGAGAAGAATTTCTCCTGTACAGTTTGTGAACAGAAATTCTTCTCCAAGACACATGTGCAGAAACACATGATCAAGCATTTCGGCGAGAGGGTCTATCAGTGCAGCGTTTGCATGAAGTCGTATGGCAGGAAGCAAACTCTCAGGGATCATATGCGAATACACAATAACGAAAAACGTTTCGTTTGTGCCGTTTGCAGTGAAAGTTTTGTCCAAAATAGTAATTTAACACTTCACATTAAAGTGCATCATCCGGAATCTGCTAACGTTTAATACTTAATTATTATTATGCAATAAAAATCTTTATTTATCAGCTATGTCTCGAGCGTTTTCTTTATCAGTACGCGGTTTTGCTTCGCCGGGTACCAAGGATTAAAAAAGTAGCCAGGACCATTAGACTGGTAAAGGCATTTTAGTGGCAAAGTAGCGCTATCAAGTCGCGCGACTAAAGCTCATATAATTATGTGAGAACGTACTTTAAAAATACTGGGATGTTGTACATTACTCTCCCTACTCTATTTATATTAGTATAGATATGTAAGCAGTTTCATGACACTTTAAATGTACCCTGCCATTTGATATAATTTATTATTTGTTTTAGAAACATTTTATAGATATTATTTTCATTTTAGATTTACAACAGTAAAAGGGTACATTTACAGTAGACAAATTTCCTTTTCAGATGTAAAACTGCGGAAATACAAGGGCTGCGAATCATCTTCGATGCGCAGACGACGAAATCTCCAACTGTTGTTCAACAACACCACTATAATACCTTTTAAGTGGCGCGGGAAATACCTCTGCTTCTATTGCAGCAAAGACGTTCCGGAATATTCTGATTTAAGGAAACACACCAAATCGCACGGCGAATGTTCTATAAAAGATCATTCTCTCATGATTTTGAGAGGAGGTCGGAATATGGAGATCAAAATTGACGTATCAGAGATAGTTTGCGAGATATGCCATGAACCTTTCCCAACTTCTGAAGAAATTATAAGTCATCTTGATGTCAAACATAAGCTAGAGTACGACCGGGATGTTGATATGGCCACCGAGGAATTCAGACTTGCAGACTTATCGTGCGTACAGTGCGACGAAAAGTTCTCATATTTCGGTTATCTAGTTTCCCATATCAACACGAATCACCCTAAGAATTGTCTCGTATGCGAGAAATGTAACCAGAAGTTTAACAAAAGGCGAGATCTTTTCTCGCACGAGAAAAACTATCATAGAGAGGGCGGTTACCAATGCGAGTATTGCCCACAAAACTTTACCTCGTTAAACATTTTGCGGAAACATAGAAATAATCGTCATTTCTCCAGATGTAACATTTGTCATTTGAAGTTGCCATCTGCTGCTATGAAACAGAAACATATCGAATTGGAGCATCCGGATGATGGATCGCTACAGTGCGGCAATTGTTTCAAAGAGTTCCACACAAAGCAAGGTCTTAAAATGCACATTAGAAAATGTAAAGGAGATGATGAGGCTTTCGAACTTGCAATAAAGAGAGAGGGGGATATTGATGATGCTTACGAAGAGCCAGTCAAAAGGCCTAGTGTGAAACAGATAAGAGAAAATATAGTCATTGTTATTAACATGTCAACGGCAATACCTTTTAACTTTTATAAGAACAAATTCAACTGTTTCTATTGTTCGAAAGATTTTACCGATTCGGATTCCATGAGAGAACATACGGTGATGGAACATCCCGTTTGTGACGTTAAACAAAAGTGCATCAGAAAGTGCAGGGAATCAGTTGCTTGCGTCAAAATTGATATCTCCACCCTGGCTTGCAAGATCTGCTTCGAGTCCATGACTGATCTAGATAACCTTTTAGATCATTTAATCATCAAACATGACGCCAATTATGATAGGTCAATAACAACTTGCCTGCAACCCTATCGACTGATCAAAGATCATATGGCATGTCTGAGCTGTGAAGGAGAAGTGTTTCGGTTCTTCGGTACTTTATTGAAGCACATGAATAAAAAACATACTAATAATAACATTATTTGCGTGTATTGTGGAGAATCTTTTAGACGTGATCAGAACTTGAGAGTGCATGTTTGGAGACATCATAGAGATGGTAGATTCAAATGTAATATTTGCGACGCGGAATGTAGTATTCCATCTAGATTGTATATGCATATGGCCAAAGCTCATGGGGTGAAAGCGGCCAAGTGTCCTAAATGCCCAGAGAGTTTTGCCACTCAATATCTTAGGCAGAAACATCTGATAGACGCTCATGATTCGGGCCACAAGTGCACTTACTGTGGCAAACTTTTTACGAGAAACTCTTTTATGCGTGACCACATAAGGAGGACCCATTTGAAGGAGAAGAATGTGGAATGCTCCATTTGTAGTATGAAGTTTTTTAATAACATACTTTTGAGGAGGCATATGGTGAAACATAGCGGTGAGAAGAATTTCCACTGTGATATGTGCGGAGAAAGATTCTTTTGGAAGAAGAGTTTACGAACACATATGGCTAGACACAACAGGGACCCATATAATATCCAATGAATTTATCGTAAACTTATTTTGTTTATTGTCAATTTAAACATTCCGTTATTCACTAGTCCATTTAAAAGCAATTTAACTATTTATTTATGTAAAAATAGATTAAGAAGTATAGTTGGTGCCATTGAGAACTTTTTAAATTCCTTATAAATATTTATTTGCATGAAACATGGATTACACACGTGTACAGATCACTTATATACAATATCAGCCTCGTAATGTTCTATCCAATTATGGTGTGCAAAATTAAATAGTTTACTTATTTAAATTAATCTAATAAATGTCCGTATCTAATTTGAAATACATGAAATTCATAATCAATTAAATCAATGAGATCAATATACATTTAATAGAATTAATACTATTCAAATGTCTATCTGATTAAATTCATGTCGTTGTGAAAGTTGATTTGAAAAATATTAATTTAAAATGTATAGTGACTTATCAACTAGCCAGTTACGTAACAACCGTGCAAACCGATTTGTAGGAAGTTTCTTATATATATCATGGTATACTTTTATATACCTTTATAGCCATGTAGTGCCAATTCCTTACCAAAAGCGCACCACGTGCCCAATTTGTTTGCAAACAGGTTGTATCTCTAGGACGTAGTCGTGTTTTTGTTGTATTGGTAACTCTATAAAAGTATTGGGGGTGTCGTCTGAAGAACAATCCTATCTCCAAGATATTACATTCCAGTCAACGTTAACACTCTTAACCGTCTAAAGCTTAACCACAACATGCGTAGAAACTTTAAAATTACGATGCAGACTGTATATTACATATCAGAGTCATCTTTTAACTGTGTTAAGTGTTTAGTAATTAACTTCAATAATCCTCTTTAAGTATGCTACCATGTCACGAACGCCGCGCTGACTGCAACAAAAATTTACGACTACTAAAAATTTACGATATGCACAAATTTATACATAACAACACACGTCCAGTACACCCAGGTACAGTTAAATAGCACACAGAAAAAATAAAACTGTTATAGCCTACGTGTTGGCGTGACTTTATCGAAAAATCTTCTCTGAGAGGAACAAAAGAGTTATAATTAAAATATTCTGTTGACATATGAATCCCGAAAAAACAGTGAAATGCGCTATATGCAGATTACCAGAATCCTAATCCTTAAACAGATTAATAAAACATCCAAAGCCAGTGTTGCCGTATGAATAAAATACAATTATTTCATCTTTTCAGATGAAAATGAGCCGATTAGCGGGCACAAGGCTAATAAGATCATGAGGAGAAACTTGGATATATTACTGTCTAACACCACAGTGTTACCGTTTAAATGGCGCGGCAGATACATGTGCTTTTACTGCGGAGACGAAATTGCCAATCACGATACTCTTAAGCGTCATACTAAAGATCATGGGAAAAGTAGCAGAGATATGGCTATTAGACATTTGAGGAGTAAAAACTCTGAAGTGAAATTGGATATTTCAGAAGGGATTGTATGCCTTCTATGCGATGAACCATTCGATGAAATCGACGGTGTCACGTCACATTTGACATTTAAACATGATTTACAGTATGACAAGAATCGCGAAGTAGACATGGTAGCGTACAGTCTGGCAGATCTGAAATGCGTCGTATGTAATAAAACATTCGAGAATCTATTCAGACTCATAAAACATTGTAATAGTAGCCATCCAATAAACAGTTTCGTTTGTAACGAATGTGGTCAATCATTCAGCAAAAAAAGGGATCTTCGTTCCCACATTTATTACTATCACAGACAAGAATATGTCTGCAAGCAGTGTAATTTGAAATTCGATGACAAAACTGCTTTCTTCAAACACAATTCGCGTCCCCATTCTTTCGTCTGTAGAGTTTGCTTCGAGAAGTTTTCTACAGATCGCAAGAGGCTGTTACATATGCGTGATCATTTTAAAGATAATGATTTTAAATGCGGTTTTTGTAATAAGAAATTTCACAGTAAGATAGCCGTAATGAATCACATTTCTCAGTGCAGTAAGAAAAAGAAACATTACCTCAAATTGTATTCGAAAACGCCTCCCGTCGACGTCACTAATAGGAAACAACTCCACTCTCATATAAAGAATAACATTATGACCTTAGTCAATGTGACCACTGCGTTGCTTTTCAAATATTTCAATAAATTCAAATGTTTCTTTTGCAATGAAAGCTTTGTGCATTGTGACGATTTAAAAAGACATGTGACGATAAGACATCCCGTTTGTACTGATGACGATCTGAAATCTCTAAAACTTTACGAAGGCTATCGTTTTAAAGTAGATATATCGACGCTTTCCTGTAAACTGTGTCTCGAAACTATGTCAGATATAAACACCCTCACCTCTCATATTATCGATGAACATAAAAGTGATTACGATAAAACTTTTGATTCGAAATTGGAGTCATTTAAACTGAGTAGTGATGTCTTAACGTGTTTATATTGCGATGGAACATTCGAAACGTTCGGACAATTGTTAAAGCATAATACCTTCACGCATTCGAAGGATGTAACAATTTGTATGTATTGCGGGAGGCCTTTTAAGTCTGTTGCCAGTTTGAGAGTTCATATATCTGAGCACCATCATCCGGATGGATATAAATGTAGCGTGTGCAACGAAGAGTTTAGCACGGGACATCTTCTACGTGGGCACATGGGAAAAGTTCACGGTAATAAGAAAGTGAAGTGTAAGGTTTGCGATGAGAAATTTCCATCTGCTTTCACGATGAGGAGTCACATGATCAATGAGCACGGCGAAGGTTACAAGTGCGAGCACTGCAACAAAATGTTCACGAGTAACTGCTTTA